CCCGTAGTCGTGGTTCCTCCTCCCGCGTCCACCCCCGTAGTCGTGGTTCCTCCTCCTGCGTCCACCCCCATAGTCGTGGTTCCTCCTCCAGCATCCACTCCCTCAGTTGTGGTTCCTCCCCCATCCACCTACGCACCGGTTCCTCCCCCCGCGTCGACTCCCGTGGTTGTGGTTCCTCCCCCTGCGTCTTCTCCCTCCACCTACGTCGCCCCGACCTACGTCCCGTCGGCGTCGATCCCCGTCTACTCGAGCCCATCTCCCAGTGTCCCGGCTCCTAGCCAGTTCACTGGAGCTGCCAACGCCAAGGCCACCCCTGCCGCCGCTGCTTTCTTCGCCGGCGCCATGGCCCTTGCCGCGCTCGTCTAAACAATCAAAATACCCTTTTTAAACAACCCCTTTTCTTTGGAACTTTTGTACATTTTTTACACTTCTTACCCATGAAGCAACGACTATTAAAACCCTCACGGCCGACATGTATCGGCGGGTTACCTCTCATTTTCACGACAACTCATTAGCATGGGATACGGCTATTAGACACTCCTTCAAAAAGGTCAGGATGGATGGGATTTGGGAAACTGGGATTAGGACGGCCTAGGAAGGCGATGGGGAATCCGCCGTGTTTGTTAATTAGGATGATTCCAAGGGGATATAAGTTCTAGCGATAATCTCGTGAAATTAGATTAGTGCAACAATGATAAGTCAGTAATGTCCCGACCTGTTCAATCGTTTCTGTGGATGTGTGGTACTTGGTATGTGATACTTGGTACCTATTTGCGTGTGCGAAGCAATTCTCGACTTGAGCTGTGATGTCTGTGGGTCATGTGCACCTCACGTGACTTGAATGGTTCTTCGGACCCCCAACAGGATAGATTAAAGGTCGGGAATAAGCAGTAGAAAGGAAGAACAGTGGTCGTGGAAATGAAGATGTTCTTTTCGGATAATCAAGTTGAGAATAGAGTTGGTCGTCACAGAGAAGCAACTGAGCAGCGGTGACACAACCTCACGAGCCCCAACTCTTCCCCGGTTTCCATCATCCATCAACCACGAATTATAGCAGATTCTGATAAAAAAATCTCACCTCGACCACTGAAAAGAGCCCTCTGTCGAAATCAGGTCTCGAGGAAACCGGCGCGGCCTCCCGTCCCCAACCCATCCTCAGCCGATTTCCCAGGATCAGTCACACCACCGTGCTGCAATCACCCCACCAACCCGGTTCGCACCACCTCGCCTCCCAACTTCCTCCTCGCACGATGCGCTTAAGCTCGCTCGGATGGTGCCGAATTGGAAGCGAGCTGGCTGCCTCCAGCATCTGGCCAATCCAGCCGTCGAAAATGTCACGATATGACCTGACGAGGACCTGCGCAGCCCCTTCTGGTGGGGAAGCGCACTGCCTTTTGCGGTAAAGACGGGGTAGTGTCACGCAACTCACGAACTGAATTCGGTGTCGAGGCTCGGGGTTGGCCGGTAGGTAGCTGAGACTCATGTTTTCGAAATTATTATATAGAGGTAGTCGTTTCTCTTGGACGGCTTCATTCCATACACACAGCCATCACTACAAGCGCATCCACCAAGCAGCTGCAATTCATCGGTTTCGCATTCCACAAAATCATCGCATCGACCTCGCTAGATTCGGCTATTTGCATACAAAGTCCAATCTCAACTCCACCATCTTCGCTCCGAATCACATATCCAGACATGCCTGCCGCAGCTAAATCGTTCTGGCCCGCCTTTGCCGCTTTCATGGGTACGTTGGTCAATTCCCTACTATGGATTGCAATTCATCTAACTGACTTGTCTATCATAGCTGTTGCTGGTACCTACACAACCACAGTCGCCCGAGGCGAGGGCAAAGCAATGGATAGTGCTTCCACACGATACGAGAAAAGCAGATCCGCCTATCTAAGAGGAGTCACTGGCGGAGCGGATCTTGAGCCTCAAAAGCAGGCCTCATAGGAGCGTGTTTTGTTGGATTCATTAAAGGGAGTTTATACCATGGCTAGGACAGTCGGGCGTTTTGGAGGCATCTGGGAAGTGAATTCCTCACATGGCATCTGAAGCCTGTGTCTTCCTTTTGTGACTATTTAATATGATTTCAAACACTACTACTTTCTTCATCTCTCACGTGACGTGTGCTAAACGGGGTTCGGGAGAAGTTGAGCCGAAGAAACTTATCTCGACCTCACTCGGCTCCTCAATGGCCTCTACGGAAAGTTGGCGCTCTCAGCTGGCCAGAGACAGCGGTGGAGGCAGTAGAAGGCGTTTTGCAGTTAACGGAAAAGCCAGAAAAACAGGGTGATGGTGGGGGAGAGGCACTGTGGGAAAGGGAGTAAGCGTACGTGTCGACGGCGCCGAACAAGGAGGTGTTCCGTTGAACAGACTCAACACCCAAGCAATCCAGCTGGTCGATGGACGCTTCAGCCTGCCAGAGAGGGTCCATGGCAGGCAGGGCTGGCAGGCAGGGCGGGCAGGGCGGGCAAGCTGAGCCCAGGTTGACTGTTAGGCGCAAAACCGACGGGTGGCTGAATGCGGGCGTCAGGCACAAACCACTCATCAGCCGAGTAGTCGTGCTGCACGCTACAGACGTCAGCGAGATCGTACTTGTCGAAGGATTCGGATTGCGGGCTGGTCTTTGGGGACGCGATGCCCCAGTCGTCCGGGGTCCAGTTGAACGCCATGCTGATAAGCGTCGCCAGGGAAGGCTGAAAGGGAGTCACCGAGTGCGCGGGTGAGTCAAGGGATGAAGAAGGAGCTAGCATCGAGGCTGGGTGTTGTGGTGCGGGCCATTGCGGCTCGAGCGCGCTGTTGCATGTTGATATATACCTCGATTCAGTGCACTGCCGGGACAGGCGCCATGGGTGTTCGGTCGTGTTCGGTGGGCATACAAGTGGAGGGTGCGAGGGCCTGATCTCACGATTTTGCGTGCCAGATTGACGCCAACTTCCTTGCATCTGATGGACGAGACGAGTCTCGACTATTGTAGGGAACCGCACCCGACCGACTACGCGGCCGTCTTTCGTGGAAAAGGATTTATCGTGAGGCCCGGCCGATGAGAGAAACACCTTGATGAATTACAGCAGCATAGAGCTACCATGGCCTGACAATCGTTCCGTGGCTGCAAGCCGCTGCATTAAGGCCAGCACTGGCACCTCCCGAAAGTATTGAGGCGTTGAGATTGTCACGTCGTCCACCACCATCCGAGAATCCCAAGCCCCCGATCGGCGATCGGGAGGGAGAAGAAGCCAAAAATCGCCGAGATCTAGGTTATACAAGAACCCTAACTGCCAATCAATTAGCAACTAGGTTGTGTCAGCGCTTTGCCCTCGTAGCCGATTGGGAGCGTGTACAACCAAAATTTCGCTGATTTTGGGCGTGTTTGTACTACCCCTGTTCGTCGAGACGCGAAATTACCCAATTAAGCCCCTAATCGGCCATGTTTAGAGCGAATTAACGAGATCCAAATCTCGCTGGCGAGGCCCGTGGTGTGGGTTTTGATGCCGCCGAGGGTGGTGTAGGTGCCGAGTTGGGTGTAGGGGCCTGAGATGACGGGCGGTGGTAGCAGGCGGTGTTGGGGCTGGATATGGGCGTGGTTTTTCAAGGTGGCTTCGGATAGACTATGGTGGTACTCGAGATGGAGATACTTAGGACCGAAGAGGGAGTTGATGGATGGTTTGCAGGTTCGACTGAAGAGGACAGTAGATTTAAGATGCCTATGAGTAGCGTATTAGACGTATTGAGGCATGCATGGCTCGTACGTTGCAGTGTCAGATGTGGTAGGTAGTTATCCGGGGTATCTTTTGTCAGCAGCAGGGGATTAACGTACCCACCCTCCTGAACGGACTGAACACTATCGTGCAGGACAGGGGTGGTTTACAGTGTGAAACCCCTGGTTTCGTGCACGATGGTGTTCTGTCCGTTCAAGGGGGTAACTGTACGTTAAAGCACAGACCAACACATGGGTTTTCGCTAATCGGGTTTCGCTAATCAACTCTTCCCATTGACTTTAACCCTTGTACCGAGCAGCCGAGATGAAAACACTCCCTAGCAGTTCCACCCACCAAAGGTACGCCAGATTCCATGGTATAACCACTATAGCCACTACAAAGTCAGAACCTAGACTGGGCAGACCCCGCATCCGCTTGCGTCTCAAGGAAATGGCCGGTTAGCGCCAACGTGCTCGTTGCTGGCAGTGAATGCGACGAGATAACGTCGCTCACTGGAAGCGAGAATCACCCGCTACCGAGGATTCGAGGGCCGAGCAGCTAGTCCAAATTCTTCTAAGCGTGACTAAATCTGCTCGCGACACACTCCGCTCATTCACGACCACTAACATGTCGAGAACTTCCTCAGCCTCCCCAGCGAACCCCGCAACAACATATACAGAAAAAGCTCGTCATATCGTTCACCTAATGTTCCAGGGGTATGAACGTTATAGCGTGTGTGAACGTTACATCGCATGTCACTGTCCGCCAAATATTAGAACGGTAACCGGAAGGTTGACCGGTATAGCGTATATTAGCGGTAGATGGCATAAACGTTATAACGAGCTTTTTCTGTATGAGCAACTGTTAGTGCTTCAAGAACTCAGTTGACTTAGGCACTTCCCATGCAGCGAGCCTAGTCAGGATAGCGACAGACTACGTATGCAATCTTCTGATGAGGAACAGACCACCGCAGCCTTCGTCTGCCCTTATTCTTCATTCTCTTTCACGGCCCTTCGTGCAGTAGCAGATCACAGCACAGTCTGGCATAAAATGCGGGCACCGAAAAGATCCATCTAGAGCCTAATTAGACGCACTTAGAATACTCTCGGATCTAGGATAGCTGCCGCAGTCAGCGCGAAATATTCACTTGTAAAAATCTCACTTGCCCGCCGGCGGATCTAAGCTCCCCGTAATCTATTTCCCTTCGCCGTCTCTGCTTAACACCTGCCGCATCGGAGCAACGCTCGCCGTTAGAAGAGGCGTTCGTAAGTTGCGATCTCACTTACATGCGGGCGGAGTCAAGCTCCCGGCTATGCAAAGAGGCCCCTGCCTAGACGATGGCATACCACGGCCTCTAACAGCTGCAGTCGCCTGTCCGGATTCCAGAAGTCTACTACACCTGCCAATATAATTATGTGCATTACATCGCTATAGAGTACATCCCTGGCTAGACAATGGGCCAATTGGTGAAGGAACACCCCACTCGGAAACAGGACATCTGCAACCTGGTTGCATTTGGTCTTCAGGAGCTCCTACGTATCCCTGTACCCCAAGATTCTCGCCCGGCCGCAATTGACGGAGTGCCAATTCAGCATTGTCTCTTTGATGATCACATGGCTCCACTGGAAAACCAGAATATCTCCGAGCTAGATACACCTAAACGAGGTGACTTGGTCTCCTGTGTTTGCCCCTTCATATGACTAAAGGTGCGCTGGAAAATTAGTGGATCCGCATTACTAGACAGTCGACACCGGCCAAGAACTTCGCCCATGAGCCTATGGTCTTCTGTTATAGCGATCCATGGCCCGAGAATTTCATCCTTGATCTGGACCGAAATCTTGTTACCATTATCGACTTCGCCGTCGCCAGCATCCTCCCATCTAGCTTCGCGAAACATGCCCTCTCGGCAAGGAAGATTGATGCGAATTTGGACGACTTGGTAAATGTCCCTATCACCAATGGGGTTGATAATTTGGAGGCGCTGTGTTGTGCTGGAGCCCTTATAGTGCAGTCAGCGAGCTCGTTCGCGCCATGTAGTCGACGAATTCTCGGCAGACCAAAACCACCTAGGTACCAATTACTATCCCCCGTCTCTTGATTCGTAAGCGAGTCTAAAACATAATTTGTGGGAATGAGAAAGTCCCAGCAAATCTCGAACCAAGTGTGTAAAGCATGTGTTCTAACAAATGTACAAATGCTAGGAGTCTTGCTTTAACCACAGAGTCCGTTCAGATCTTGCCTCTTTATTGCCCCCAAACACCACAGCTCCTGAATCAAGAGGCGCTGAGGACTGCGTCTTAGCGAGCTGAACTACTTCGAAGTTCTTCCAATCCAGCTTTCTCACTTTCCATAATCAAGTGGCCGAAGAGGCCCTAGAGGCTATCGCTAAATCCGAATAGTGCTATTCCTTGCAACGCGATAAAAGTGCATGACAAGACCAACCTCCAGCATGGCGGAGTCAAAGCGAGTGGCTGGGACATATTCAAACGGCACGTGGGCACGGAGGAGTTTTTCCAGACGAAGACTGTGACGGACTAAGACTTATTGTAAAGACGGACTGTCACAATACGGAAGAACGTCATCAAGATATAAGATGAAACCTTAACGTTGCGAATACCTAAAGCTCCAATAACCACCATCCAAGACTGAGGCCGTGTCTCCTTCTAATGTCTTATGTACAGGGACAGATCATAAGCAAGGTCTGGCATAAAATTGTGACGAGCGGACACTGAAAGACCTCATTCATTGTTTTTTGGGGGTTTGCAAGAGGATAATGAATGGATTAGAGAGTACTAGACCAAGTTGACGAATACAGACAAGCACAAATCAAGACAAGCGCGAGTCGAGGAAGGTGGATCGAGACACTGATGAGGAAAGAGAAATATTCAATCCAACGTCAAAATCATACCATCAATGATACTCCTCCAGCTAAGCCAACGAAGCAATAAAATCCGCCGCCTCCTGGGCATGATTCGGCACCTCATTCGAATGCACATCATCGTCCAACCCACTCGCACAAAACGGATCCCCATCATCGCAGTAACTCCTCAACACAGCGGCATACGTATTCAACAGTGCCAGGCTATATACGTCACCACTTCTTGTAAAGATCCCGTTCTTGGTCGAAGTGCCGACGTCATACGACTGACCCGTGCTATAAGTTGGGTCTCCAAAGACGACCACACCGGCGACTATTTATACGTTAGCATCACAATCTTGAAACACTAGAGGGGAATTAGCGTACTATTCTTCCGATACGCCTCCTCCAACGGACCCGGCTTCGCCACCCCTCCCGCCAACACATCCGTCATAACATTCCCCCCTTGACTATACCCAACCAGCACTATCCTCGCATGAGGACACGTAGCCACATAGCTATGAGTTTTATTGATCGTATCCGTGATCCCATCGGCCACAGACTCGGGATACAAGTCCGCGCAGCAAATCGCAGCAGGATAGTCGACAGCCACGCTATCAGACCCCGGCACCATGTTCTCGATGAGCGTAGCGACCTGTCCCGATCTCCCCTCGCCGGGAGCCTCGTTCGAGCCGCGCGCGACGATGATGTGGAAGCCCGTGGCACAGCTCTGGCGGGGATGGAGGGGAAGGGCGGACGTGAAGGCGACCAGGGCGGCGGTGGCTAGTGGGAGGGAAAGGTGAACCATGCTGCCGGTTGGCTGGCGACTCTGGCCGATAGAAAGCTCGTTGGGCTAGGACGCCCTCCATAGGACGTCGCCATCTTTATACAATTGTAAAGGACGGAAGCAAGGGAATATCGTTTCGGCGCCTCTTGCCGACGACTCGCTTATGCTGTGCTGTACGCGCCGCCGGGAGAAGCAATGCGGAGGGTGTGCGGTGCTGTAATAGGCAACCCACGGAGTCCGGGGAATGCATTTGGGGCTGGGTTGAGGCTTATTGGTATGTTGAGGGTGGGAAATGGCGAATGAATTGCGTTGATTGCTGGTGAAACGTGAGAAACGAGACAAGGGAACAGGGTCCTTCTAGGTTGGTTGGAATGTTCGTCCGGGAATTGTGGTAGATACTCTGGGTTTAACCTGAGGAGGTGTGGCATAGAGCATCAGGCTTGGAGGACGTGGAAGAGGGGCGAGTAGGTAGTGGTGGTCGTCTGATGGTAAGTGGACACGTGGTTGGGTAGTGGTGTTGTCTACGGAAAATAGACCTACTGTATGGAGTCTAGCGCTTCGCTCCCATTGGTAGAATGAATGTTGGAGATCGGCAGAAGAAGGTATGGTTGGCCGGTAGATGTCACAAGTTTGGCCATGCGTAGGTGCCTGAACGGGGTGAGCCGCTTAGGCGAAGCTACGATGTGCCTTTCGGCCTTCGTGGAGCTTACTGGATGTGGGTCGCTCCATATGATGGATTAGCGGAGCGGAGCATGCCTCGGCTTGGCCCAAGGTTTGATTTAATTTGTGAAGTGCATGAGGTTTAGGCTAAATGGGAGAAGGAACGCAAGCTTGACAAATACTGGTATTGAGAAGGAAGGCGACTTTGAGAGAGCTGAGAAACTTGGAATGTATACCACCTCGGCTGAGTATTCTACGCCAATAGGGCGCCTTCAGCTCGCGTATGAATACAATGAAGGTTGTAAGGCCTATATGCGGGGACCGATGCTATAAATGGAGACGACATGGTGTTGAGGATGAAATCATGGCCAGAGCCCAAGCGGGTACGAACGCGAGGGCGACCCAGGGTTAATCGAATCAAATCTGATCCCATTGCCGCCTCGAGCAATATTACCGACTCGCAACGCTTGCCGCACAACCAAGTTGAGCACAAGTATCGCGAGGGCATTAATGCTGAGCTTGAACGCCTCCGGGGAACCGTGCCAACACTGCCGCAGCGCGATTCAAGTGATCTAAACGGCCCGCCGAGGCCCAGCAAGGCCACCGTCTTGGCCAATGCTATTGACTACATTCAGTTCCTGGAAGCAGAGTGTGGACGGCTGACCGACGACAATGAGCGCCTTCGCGGCCCTGCACATTGCAGACCAAGACGAATCGAGCCCAGACTAAGCTTCAGAGCGTTGGGGGAAGAAGAGCAAGCAAACTCAATGGACGACAGTCTGCCTTCCCGCGGCCTGACATGTTAACGCATGAGCTTCTGAGAGTGGTGCTCTTTGCCCCGGAACCCTACACTACTAGCACTTAGCTATTCCTTGCTAGTGTGTGTAGCGTGAGGCAGCTGGGGCAATCAGAACCGGATGCTAGGAGAAGAGGTGCGGGGGTATTCAGAATGGATGAAGTATTTTGCAAGCTCATACTCGGAAACAGTGCAGGGGTATTCGGAATGGATGAAGTATTTCGCAAGCTCGGGCTTGATAATGCCGGCCTCGCTGCAATTGCTGTATCGGGAAGCTACAGGGTGCGGCCGAGTGCATAATCAAGCCACCACCAAAATCCACGACTTAGCTGCGCAGCCACCACACGGGCACAATAATTTTTCTAGCCTTCCAACAACTATCAAAGACGCTCCCGCAAACACGCCTAGGTTTTCAGAAACTCGATATCTTATTGTTTTCTGGAGATGCGGCCATCCAAAGGTGTCAATGTCGGGCAGCTTTGATGTTCCTCGCCTCGCTTAGCCGCTTGAGACTTGATAGCCACGTGATAGCGCACTCGGCGCACCCTTTCTGCCTTTGTGCTGTAGCAATGCAATGCCAGCGTCCTAAGCGAGCTAGATTGGGTGCCATATCTACCTGGTTGCAGGTTAATAACCTAGCACCGTAGGTGACGTAGTCTGTTTTCAATTCCCCTCGAACCCCGTTGCTTATCGATACCGTAAGGCTGGAATCGCCATAGACGAATCCCGAAGCCTCCAGAATCTCGAACCACCAGCATCCCTCACCATAGTCACCACCGCACCCTCCCTTTTCAATGCTCTTCCCCAGTCATCTAGTCTACCACCATCTCCTCATCCCACCTTAGTGGCCATCCAACCAAACCACACCTCAGCAATCACTATATACACCCCACAATGTTCGGCCTCGTCCTCTCCTCGCGCCCCGTCCTGACCCTCTCCTCCCCCGGCGCCTCTACCCTCTCAAACACCCAATTCGCCTTCGCCATCCCGCCCGCTCCATCCTTCTCCCACATCGTCGTCTTCATGCTCCCCGGCACCACCCTCGATCCCGACACCGCCGCAGCGGTATACCTCAAAATGCCCGGCGCACCCGACTTCCGCTTCCTCGGCGCGATTGGGCAGGGGAAGGAGAGCGCAATCTTCCGCGTGAAAGGCTCCGCCGGCGATTCCAGCGCGATCGGGCAGGTCGACGAGGACGCGATGGTAGACGAAGGCGTTAGCGGGGCAAACATAAACGGCGCGAGCGGGGAGGCGGAGATGGTCATGTTGGGGATATCGATTGAGCCGGCGAGTCAGGTGGCGGCGAGTATGGCGCAGTTGAAGACGCTGGGGGGGCAGGCGGAGATGGCGCTTGTGAGGCATACTCCGGCGCCTGTAGCGGTCCCAACGAAGGTGCTTGCGCAGCGGATTATCAAGAACGCGTATGATTTTCTGGCGAGCTTTGCGGGGTCGGGGCCTGGTGGGGCGGAGGTGGTGCCGTTGAAGGCGTTTCAGGAATGGTGGGGGAAGTTTGAGAAGAGGGTGGAGAGGGACCCGGGATTTTTGGAGAGGGCGGAGGAGAGCTGAGAGGAGAGACTTGGGAGGGTGTTGGCATCAGAGGACATGTGTGAGTCTCACAGACATAAAGAGGTGTATAATTGGAGCAGGGTTGTCACGGACTTCCGTTGTTTGGTTGGTGGAATACACCTCTGCTGCTACCGTATAGCAGCAGTAGTCGTGGTCTTGAGACAACAACGAAGAACAAACATATAACGGTATTAGAGGTAGACATTTGTTGTCAACTATGTTGTTGTCAACTATGTGAGTCGCATCCCTAGCTTTCGAAAGGATACGTAGAACACCGCCAGGAAGATTACCTCTCCATTACATGTTTTCTCAATCACACGTGTGTTGCACTGGCTAAATAGAACGCCACGTTCGGGTGGTATCATTACATTTGATGGCGGGTGTTTGCCGGTGCTTGAGGGGCCTCAGCTACATACACATCTCATGCGTACCGACGAAACGCCGAAAGTCTAAATCAGGCCGACTGGAATTGAAAGTGCTGATGGAGTTGTTTTTGCGGCTTTTTAAGGAGTGTGAGAGGCTACTTGTGTTCTCTCACGCGTACCAGCGATGTGCGAAGTGTCTAGATCAGACTAACTAGATTGATATTGCTTTGTGGGGGTTCTGGCGGGCTTTTGACGATGTTTGGGGTTTTTATAGATGCTTTATATGTACTAGCTCGATTTTACAGCTGGAGGGTCTGATATGGATATAATTCCGAGATGATACATATCTCGAGGCAATTTCGAACTGACTTTCTTCCGTGATTGCTCCGAGATCGATACGCAAATGGCTCCAAAAAGATGCTTTATGCGTGACAACGCCGTCTGCCTGGCCCCGATCACGTGTAAATATCTTGAAGACGATGTCAAATGCTGCAGGACCTATAGTTACCAGAGAGTGCGAAAACACTTGTCTTTTCCGGTTCGATACCGCTGTATGACTGGCTCCAGACCTCCATGTTTTGTTCATCACGCGGAGTATTCTACTTGGATCTCGGTGTAGGTGCTCCGTTGAGAACATGAATACACGTCGATGTCCCAAAGAAGCGATAAATTACTCTTTTTGTCATCGGGTGTAAGAAATCCTGTCATGACTACGCCTTCTCTATCTTCCCTCCGCCCGAACATATTGAAACAGAATCCATCGCAACATCTGCAATTACATCACTAGGTCATAAATTTAAGTACGCGAAAATACCACTGCTCGGACTGCGCTCTTTCCCGGTCGACACCACTGTGAGGGGTGCCCCAATGAGCAAATAGCTGGTCAATCGAAAGGCAGCCTGATTTCAACTGCATCAGACTTTATATCGTGTTCCCACGATGGCCATCAAGACGACCGTCGAATTGGAGCAAGCCCTGAAAGCCCGCGGCATACCCTTCACGAAAGTAACACCCCTCAACGCCTCCACGAACTTTGTCTGGCGCATTCAGGCCCCAGACAGCTCAAGCACGATCATCAAACATGCGGAGCCCTATTCAAAAGACAGTCCAGACATTCCAATCTCCACAGACCGCCTAGATTTTGAAAAGAAAGCGTTAGAAAAGCTCCTCAAAATAATTCCCCAGGATGACATCTTACGCCTCCCCGCACTCCGCTTCTACGACGCAGACGACAAGATCTTGCAAATTAGCGACGCGGGTCTTCGTACGCTTGACGAGGTCTACAGGAACCGAATGCTGAATATCCCCCTCTTCGGCCGCCGAATAGGCAAATGGCTCGCCCGATTGCATGCTTCGACGCGCAGGGAAGAGACGCGAAATGCGTTCTTGAACGAGAGCGCAAAAGAGGCGTATCGAAAAGTGTATGATACCGTTCCAGGTATCTTCTCTGAATGGGGTCATGATGCTTCAGTTGTTGAAAGCATCAATGCGAAGTATGGAGCGTTTGGTCAATCCGAATCCGCGTGTGTCTGTCATGGCGACTTCTCGCCGGAGAACATCGTGGCGCAATCAGCAGTTGCGTACGGCTTCAGTAACCACAAACTGACAGTTGTGGACTGGGAGATGGTGCATGATGGGTGTGGGTCGTCAGATGTTGCGCAATTCGCCGCGGACGCGTGGTTGCTGGATCGGTTTAAGGGCGGACGAGAGCTTTTTGGGAACTTTTTGAGAGGCTATGGGGAGGGTGTAAGAGAAGGTGGTGGGGAAGTCGATGACCTATTTAAAAAGAGAGCTGCGGCGCATTTTGCAGCTTGTATGTGCAAGATACTTACTTTCTGATCGGTATCGTGCTAATTTGAGGTAGATTTGACTTTTGCGTCTACAAAAGCGGAGTCAGTAATGAAAGAAGAGACGGCGCAGGCTATTAAACTCGGGTTCAAGATCTTGGAGAAGGTTCTCGCGAACGATATGGAGTTTGTGGGAACTACATTTCCGGGACTATGATTCGACATGCAATCGGGCTGCCCTAGTCCTTCAAGTAAGTCCGCACTTTCAGATCGCGCCCATAGAATTGAAAGTGCTGTAATGATCAATGAAGTGCGCTCTCAAGTCACCTTTGCTGAGACAATCGCATGGGTGGTTCGTTATCTCGCTATGCCACGCCCCGAATTTTCGCTAACAGTACACGGGCGTCATTCCGTCCAGTTCACTCTCCATGCCACGATTCGGGGCTTCCAGATCGAGCCGATTCTCGCTGACCAGCCTGCCGTTTCGACGGTCGCTGGCCTTGCAACTCATTCCGTCGTTTCGGTCTCTTCCCACACCCACCGTCGTCGTCGCCGCCGCTCCTTGGATCGCTATCAAGAGGAGGCCGCCCCAAAGGAAATTAATCTAGCATCTCCACAATTTGAAGGAACCTTGGTATAGACGTCCTGTCGCGAATGTTCTCCCAATCAAGGCCATAGTGCTTCAAACAGAGGCCCCGTCCCCGCGCGGTCTCCTGTTTTAGAAGATATAGAGGCATTCTCTTCAAGCTACCAATTACGTTCGCGCTACTTTGATGCCAGTTCAAGCACTTGTGTACGAGGGTTTCAAGCTTGCGGCTGTACATTTCTGCATAATTAGAACGTTCACTTGGGTGTGGTCGTCGGAAGGCCTTCTCCCGCGCATCCATGGTATACAGAGTTTTTCGCCCTGTAAGATACTCATGATGTCCATCCAGGATTACCTCGCTCTCGGTATCGCAATGCATAAGAGACCAGACGATTTGGCCAATAACCCATATGTCGGACTCCTCGTTCGGGATCCATGACACGTGAGCTTTAGTTTCCGTATTATTTGCATAGTTGAGCGTCTTTTTTTCCTAGAATTCGTTAGCAGAAGACTTTCAAATCTGGAGCTTTTGCATGACACACTGGAGCCTTCCATCCCTTTGTTCCAGCAAATCTCCTATCACGTAGATTTAAAGGACTTGTGTTCCAATCCTCCATCTCATTTTCCTGGCCTAGCGGCACCTGGTACGACAAGTCGAAGTCACCAATCTGAGCGACTTGATACGCCCTGAAGTCAGAAAACGGGTCTGCGAGGAAGACGTTCGCGGGTTTGAGGTCCAAATGAAGAATGTGCTCCCAGTTGTCGTCGGCGCCTTCGAAAAGCTCGCTTGGCTTGGGTCTCCTGTCCGGAGGAATGTCACCCTCTTTTTTGACTTTGATTCGCTCTGTCTCTAGGTTCTTGTAGCACTCCCCGTAGTTCATCGTCCAGAGAGCGTCGATCATAGAGTCGAACGCGTGCCAGATGAATGGCTCCGGGATCCGCCTGTACTAGCTGTCAGCTCACTGGCTAAGGAATGGCTACATCGTTGAGAACTTGCTTTTTTGCTCGTCTATGCCGATTCAGAAGTTCACTCAGATCGCCCCCAGGGGCATATTTCAGGTAAGTATAGATTTTCCACTCTTCACTATCGTCGTCAACCAGGTTCCCAAACTGGTCCTCCACCGGTGCAATACGAATTGCGTAGCCCCAGAACGGCACAATGCTCCCACAGTTCGTCTCTGTCAATCTGGTGTGTATAAGTATCTCATTCCGATAGACCTGGTGCCACCTCTCCTCTTCCCACGGGCTCATTCTCACGACCACTCGCTATGGCAGTCAGCTGGCCAATCATAATAATGCCCACACAGATTCTGCCCGGGAGAACGTACCTGCAGTGTGTTCCCTTGCTCGTCTGTATGAGCCCATAAGTCGACTGATCTTCTATCTTCTGAATAGAATATCTGCTTCAACCATTTCCACTGACGGTCTCCGCCCAGCCTCAGACTGTGGAACTCCGCTCGTGACTGTCCCTCAACTGCCAACTCTTCTGCTCTTTGCATTACATCGTCCATATCCAAATTGTTGTCAATAATTCTTGGGAAATCCCTTGCCCTTGGCGAGTTCAGCGGTAGGGGTGGAGGTGGTGATGCTGCCCAGTTCCTATACGTAGCTTGGTGCGCTCCATCGGCGTCTACATTGTTCCACTTAGTGACAAGGTTCTTCCAGCGACCGCCTTCAAATCATCTCCTCGTCAGCATTGTTAGTCGAAGTGATGCGATCACGCGGCACACACCTATCCAATAGTTGGGGTTCGTAACGTTGCGTCTGAACCAAGCCACGTACCACAAGAAGGCTGGTCTATCGGCAGCTACAATGTTGTTGTAATGGCCCACCGCGGCGGCGTTGGTCGGCGCAGGTTCTGCAGTCAATACAGCTGGTGGCGCTGCCGGAGGTGCTGGGGCGGCAGCAGGCGCCATAGTGATATTGAGTAGAATGCGTTGTCAGAATGTCGAAGGCGTGCATATTTTTTTTTAGAGATTGTGGTTTTGTATCTACTTAAAAGGACAAAGAGGTGTCACTTGGTTATAAGAGCACCCGCTTTGTCAATGTGCCTCATCTGCAAACGGAATTAGGATAATGTTGGCCTTTGTTCTCATATTTAGCGATAGTTTAAGGAGACCAGCAAATACACACCTCCTTTTTAGTAGTCCTACACCCCCTTCTAAGCAAGCATTCACCCCCCGTATAATTTTATCCTCTTATTGGCTTTAGTGCTCGGGCTATTGACCCTAGAGGTACATGCACTTACTTGCATTCTACTTTCGCCGTATATTAATCGCTGTAGGTCTTTCCTAGAGCATTATCTTAGATGTAAGGCTGTGCTAGAAGATATTCTAGGTACGCAAATATAAGTAGCCCTCTGTGCGGCACTATACAGTCTATCGACTGTGCCAGAGCAGACGTGTCGTGTGGCATAGTTAATATCGTGACATAGATTCACTATTACTCTAAGAGGAGTCGGCCCGGCTAAAGCAGCCAATAGAGAGATTGGATGATATAGGGGGGGTGTGGCTACTAAAAGGCGGGTGTGTATTTACTGGTCCCCTAGTTTAATAAAAGTGCAGAACACAACAGGTAGTACGATATCCCAATGTGCACCCAAGCAATTCCCTTTCCCGTACAGGGAACTGAGCTGCTCATGCTCCAGCCTGACACTGAGTTTTGAGCTTTGAGATAGCCTTAGCTGTATCTAATTTTGAGATGGGAGTTATATTTGGACTAGCGTGCGTGATTTTCCATAGAACAACCCGAGAGAAGCCCCTATGGGGCTTATAACGGTAGTACGTTAGAATTAATCAATCAATCAATCAATCAATCGCGCTCTTATTTTTTCCGAGATCTTCAGATCCTTGCACGGGAGAGCCGGCCGCCCCAACCACCGGTTAGCAGTGGTTTAGCGCCGGTGGGTAGAAGCTGAATGCAGATGGGCGGTGGCTGGGTGCTGCTGAGCAGATGAGCTTGCGCGGCCTAAACCTCAGTTCACTAGCTCAAAATTGATTGGCATCATGAACTAGAAATATTCCTCTCTTCGGCATGATGTTGTACGAGGCTCGGACTAAATCACCTCGGAGCCTTAAACTTCGATAAGTATAGAGTCGTCCTCGCCTGCGTCGTCCTCGTCTATCTCGTCCTCGCCTATCTCGTCCTCGCCTATCTCGTCCTCACCTTCCAGCCTCAAGTTACCGATATCTACTTGCACCTCTTCAAAGCGCTTCTTCTCTCTCAGGTCGAGACTGAGCAGTTTGAGCAAGTCGACGATAACTACGACAAAAGTGATCAAACTGATCGCACGGGCGTTAGTCTCCTTTACGAAGAGTGATAGTATTCTAGGAAGATAACTTACCCCCCGATACTCAATGTCGTGATGCTTGTCCATTTGACAGCCTCCTTCATGTCACAGTAATAGATCCGAATAACCAGGCCTACAAAGGCGCCAAAGGCCGCTAGATTTAGGACGCAGCCGATGGTAACACAGATCACTTTCTGCCGGAAGTAGATTCCCACGCGGCCGTCGATAATTGGTTTGTCGAGTTTGTATAGTAGTGTGTAGAGGCAGAGGTTGACAGGAAACGCAAAGGTGACCTGGTCAGGTGTTGTCAGTTTCCCATTCTTCAGAACATATTCTAAACAGTGGATAGGAAAGCGCTATTGGGGGTAGCTTACGACTATATTTGCCAACACGAACACCGCAATGCTATCAAGATCGACTGAACTCGAGGTAATGCTGATGGCATTGCAAGCAAAGTTGACCAAAAAAACACAGGACAAGATGACCAGGCAGAGTCTATGCGATTCGTTCCAGAAGACCTTGAGAGGGACCATGGCAGTGACAAGGAAACAAGCGCAAGTGTTTCAGAATAAAGGCGACGCTGGTGGCAGAGAGAGGAAGAATAGCTGTTACTTAGGACCGAATCCGAGGAGTCCGCTGGTATAACATAGGCTTCCAGGCGCACTCAGCTAGATGTACAGCCTGTTTAACTGTGGATAATGGGGGCGATACATTCCGAGCGAGTTGGTAGCTGATAGCCCCCAATCAACCCCTGCGGACTATCCGTCGGCGAATTAAACAGGCTATAAGGATTCCTTCACGCCTCCTTGTAGGGCTTACAACCTACTGAGGCCGAGTTATTGGGTGCACGATTATGGTTAGGAACGAGGCTGAGACAGGAGACGTAATCAAGCGGCGGTGCTCTGCCGCGTCAGCGAGATGCAGTAACTTCAATGGCCGCATGGTTTGGGCAGCAGGCCTGATTACAACAAATAAGGATCCCCTCGTGCCTCTATCCACGAAAACATCCATGGTATAGAACGCTCGCAGCGACTAATTGGGGCCGTTTGAGATAAGCCGTGCGCGGGACTGTGGATGGCTAAAGCGCAGCGCTGTTTGTGCATAGCCATTTCGCGATGTGATAGTGCACGGCCTCCACACGCTCCGCAGCTTATAATTGCGTGAACATCATGCAATCGCCCAAAACCCCTTCCCACCGGATCAGCTTCGCTTCCAGTTTCAACACTGATAACAAAGACTACCGGCCCCCTGAGATGGGTAACCTGGTGTCACGACAGCTCGAACCAGCTGCGACCCAACGGTTTGGGTTAATGGACGAGTTTCTCGGCCTCGAGGAGCCAACATGCTCCAAGTGCGCAAAGATTGTCGCGTACATCGAGGTCATCCAGAGCAAAGGCGTGGTCACTTCAACTGACTACCCTGCCTTCGAGCTACACCGCAATTTCAAGGAGCTGGAAGCGGAATCTCTGGGCTGCGTATGCTGCCGACTACTCCGGCAGGCACTGCTTCTTAACCAAATCACCATTGCCGGCGTTGCAAACCTACGGAAATGTCAAGATCCAATTCTGATCGAATTGCGGAGTGGCAAGCAACTAGCTCTTCGAATTTGCATTCCGAACATAAAGGACAGTACCGCGACATTATCATGCGCAACGACACGCCCTCCACCGTGTCGACAGCTCGCTGTGAACGCACTCGACAAGAGCGTCTGTCAAACAGCAAGAGGATGGCTGAAAGAGTGCCTCGGTCCTAAATGGGAGCAGCCGAGCCTAGTACAATCGAATGCAAGTCATCGACAATGCGCGCAGCGTTTAACATCTCGCAACCCTACAAGGTTACTTCACATACTGCCTAGCCCGAACACCGAGCCGCTGGAGCAAATAGAGGTACAGCTCGAACAAGGCCTAGAAAGCAGAGTGAACTACGTTGCCCTTAGCTACTCGTGGGGCCAAAACACGAAAACCAGCAAAATTATCCAATCCGGTAAAACAACGAAACGGAATTATCAATCACGCCAAAGGCCATTTCCCTGCGCTGAATTCCCGGCCACGATCCGAGACGCCATCGCCTTCACGAGCCGTATCGGCGTGGAATACATTTGGATCGATTCCGTATGTATCATTCAAAAGGTCGATGGCGACCAGGGCGATGGCAGCAAGGACTTGGAAAGAGAAATGCCGAAGATGCACGAGGTGTATGGCAACGCGCTCTTCACCCTAGCCGTGTGTTCTAACGACAACGCTAAGTCCCGTATGCTCGCATTGCGGTCCGCCTGGCAATACCGGAGGGAAACGTGCAAACTGAGCAACCAGTACCTCACGGTAATCGATCCGTCTCTGGACAATATCCGGGCCTCGTCACCGCTATCGAAGCGCGGCTGGACGTTGCAGGAGGAACGCTTGTCGCCGCGTGTCCTGTACTGGACGGGACAAGGCATGTACTGGAGTTGCATACAGATGCAGCGGAGCGAGGTGGAAGCGGAACAGAAATCCGCCACCGTATTGGAGCAAGGTGAATCCACATACACGGGCAACTACAAACATCCGCAAAACTTCCTCTGGACCTGCTGGTCAGTGCCGTCTGGCGATGCGCTGCATAGAGCCTGGCTAGATGTCGTTAAGTCATATTGCCGACGGCAGCTGGGTGAAGAGTCCGATCGGTACCCTGCGATTTCAGGCCTGGCAGCACGGTACCAGTACGCGCAGGCCGGCGACGAATACCTAGCCGGGCTGTGGCGGAAGCATTTTGCTGAGGATCTGGCGTGGTGCGTCGTGGCTGGTCAAGCCAAGGACGAGGGACTAAGCCTGCGTAGCAAAGCGCCATTGCCCTCGTGGTCGTGGGTTTCTCTTCCATTCGGGACGAACATCTTGAATAACCTTGATCGGCCGCTGATCCCCGCTGAGGATGGAGATGGAGTTGATAAGTTCAAACTAATCCGGATACTAGGCTCGCAATCTTCCGAACGCGAGCAGTCATCAAACCCGCAATACCAGGACCTCAACGAAGCCAACCAGCGTGTCTTAGTAGGTAGCAAGGTTGAGAGGGTCAGAGTTCGTGGTCTCCTTCGCCCATTCCTCAGGAACGACTCTAAGTTCCGACCATGGTCGAAGGTGGCACTCAATCAAAGCCGACGACAATCACAAACACTGCCCCGATTTACATTCTCTTCCGCTCCTGAACAACCAGTCCACTCAATAGATCCGAAGAGCGGCTATGTGATGGCGTACGAAAGTGGCAAGAAGGAAACAGTCGGGCAGCTAGACTATCGAACTGACGCGGATCGGTTTGCGAGCGGGAAGCTGGATATGATGTGTTTAGCGTTAGGCAGCGCGCAATGCGACTCGATGATGTTGTTGGCTAGGAGTCAGCAGGATGATGGGAGCGATAGTAGTAGGATCGCGCAGGATGAGTATCGCCGGGTAGGTATATCATATGGGTTTCGGAAAGACTTCTTTGATAATACAAGGGCTGTAGAGGTGACACTTGTGTAGATAGTTTAACGGAAAAGCGTCTGCGATCGCGAAGTCTCTGTACGCTACTACGACATCTATTGGAGTCTTACTAATATTGACGCCATACCGATCTAAAGTAGAGGGTTACTCTCGAGGCCTATTCAATTTTTGCTATTCTCTAAGTATAAAGGCAATATAACGCAGATTACGAACGATTCCGACCTCCTTAGGAGTTGAAGTGGTACGTCCGTAGACACTTTCCGCTCTATTCGAGGCTAAAGTTTGCTAATAATGAGCTTCTCGTATGATCTAGCATGTGTTGAACTTCTCTATTCTACCATTCTTTCTTTCAGCTAGAAATAGGGGCACAGGTTTGCAGCATCTCAGCAGTAATAATCTGCTCGACCAGGGCAGAGAATCCTCCACTAGAAAGGAGCCTGAGCTTCCAAGGCTTACAAAACTATATGGGGCCCAAATTCGTTGACCCGGGACAGAATTGAGGCCCCTCGCTAAAACTTGACAATTTCTGGTGGGTAAGTTACATCTGAGACTGCGCCGAAGCTGAGCCGGGCCTGAGCCGAACTCAGCCACAGCGGCGAAGGGTCACGTGAGCAGCGGGGGTTGGGCAGCGTGCACATTAGAGTGGTATAACGTTGTATCATTAAACATATAACAGACTACTTTATTACCCAATGAGAGAATATCGCAGTCGACCAAAACTATCATGACTCTGGACTGATTAATGATGCTCTAAACTATAGATGTCGTTGAATGCTATGAGCGATGCGTTAAAAGTCATGTGACTCAGTGAATTTCAGTCAGTGAATTTCAAATGGATAATCTAATGGTAGTAAATGTACCACCACCCTTACTATCCCCAGCTCCTATACATTGCTTTATCGGCATCAGACAAGGCGTCCCACTTTGTCTTAAGATGCTTGTAATTTTTCCCTTCGCCACGTTGATCAGTCAGCCTGGTTTCACACAAGCGTTTCTTCTTGAATATGAGGTACTTACCTTTATACCAAGCGGCGCTCTTCGTATCCTCGACTTGACCACCTCTAAATCCCCCCAACCACCACAGGAACCCTGCTCTCTCGGCGGCGGGAATTGCTTTTTGATTTCGAGAGAAAACCCCGAGTTCATGGACGTTGGTCGGTTCTGCAGCTTTTGCCCAACCAGGTGGGGGCCCTGGCAGGGGGGCTTCTGAGGGGTCTTCCTGGAGATCTTCTTGAGGGTCTTCTCGGGGGTCTTCCTGGGGGTCATCTTGGGGGTCTCCCAGGGGATCTTCTGGGGGTGCCACAACGGCCCCTCCCGCGACAGCCGCAGAATCCACTCCATCCGGCGGCCTCCTCCTCTTCCCCTGCGGGCCCTGCGCACCCACCCCGAAGGCATCATCTTGTAACCTCACCTTCAGATGCTCCATCAAGAGCTCCGGGCCCGCAACCTCAGGATCCCCAAATATCCCCTTCGCTTTAACTAACTCCCTCCGCACATTTCTCCTCAGCTGATTGATATCCGGTCGGTCTTCTTGCTGCGCCTCAACACACTTCTGCACCAGGCGCTCCAAATTCGTTGAGTACATCGCGCCATAGTTTTTCAGATGGTCGTCTACTATTCCATCCGCATACGGACTCTCGAGCTCTGGCTCCTCGAAGTCCATTATTTTTACTCGAATGTCTTTTAGGTGTCTGTAAGCGTAGCTGCTGCTTCGCATCAGCTGCCACATGACGAGCCCGACGGCCCAGATGTCGGTTTTATCCTTGAAAACGAGGGCATCTTGCTCGGGTTTCGATAGTCTCGCAACGTCCGCTTGGGAGTACATTTGCTCCTATGTTGCCGTTAGAATTGATTAGATATCAGTTGTCACGCCGTGGACTGTAAAGAAGGGCATCTCACAGGGGCTTTCCATCCCGGTGTTCCTTGTCTGCGCTCGAATTCCAAACCGTCCGTCATTTCGAGCGCAGTGCCGAAGTCGCCCAACATTGGGGTGAGGTAGCCCATGTATGGCGGGTTTGGGTCACCGAGGAAGATATCTCCAGGTTTGATGTCGCGGTGGACGATTCTGTTCCAGCCTGGCTGCGGTGCTTGTGGTATGAATTCGCCGTTGGCGTCAAATTGTGACGAGTTTCCGATTTGGAGCACGTAGAGGGCTTCCGCGAGCGCGTCGAATATGACCCACAGATATATCTCTGGTATCTGTCTGATGACCAAGTAAGCATTATAGCCTAATGTAACAAGCATAAAGCGACATACTTTTTATTCCTTCGTGCTATTCCTTCGATTTGCCATATATCTCCACCCGGGGCGTAATCCATGTATAGCAGGAACACATTCTCGTGGTCTGAATCACCCCAGCTCCGCAAGCCGATAATGTGCTTACAGCCAACGTCAGACAGCTTCTCATGCAATCTTGCCTCATGTAGGAGATATTCTCTCGACTTAGCGCCACCCTCGCCACGGGAATGCTCGCTCCGTTTAACTACCACCCGCTATTACCGGAGGCCGTTAGAAAAAGCACACGTCGGGGTCCATAAGGGGGTGTGAACTCACGTCAATTATGTTGTAGTCGGTGTCGACGTTGACGTAGAGATATATCGTCCGATGAGGAGGCCACGTCTTATTCCTATCGTGATCCCCGAAGCTGGGATCCAGTACGCGGGCATACACCCATTCCCCGGAGGCCATAACATCGTTGATGTGTTGTTGTTCGCTCGCGGTCGGAGAAGGTGGCTCGACGTTCGGGTTCGCGATCAAGTCGGTCTTTTCTTGGTCGTTCAGATTGGCCCATTTTTGGAGTGCATCTATCTGCCCTCGTGGTGCTGCGAGAACGTTGGAACTAGCGATCAACGACGTGGAGTTTTAAGACTTACTCCCCCAGTACGCGTAGGTCCGGATCTTTCCATAATGTTCCTCGAACCTTGCCCTGTCCTCCCGATCTAGCGCTAGTAGCAGCTCTTGTGATTCCGCCTGTGTTCCTGACATGGCGGATCCAACTTCCGAGTCGCACGCGGTACACGAAATACTATCTCTTAGTCCAGCTGAGTCTCAGGAAAAAGAGGACAGGAAGGTAAACTGACATTAACGTGTTGCCAATGACTGCACAAAGAGATTGAGAGGATACATGGTCGGAGCCCACAAAGACGACATCTCTCAAACTACGTTGTCCTTGTCTTCCGCAAACGGCTGGTTACCTTAAAAGCTATACACATGACCGCACGTATCGTCGTAAGTTTCTGCCTCTATATTTCCATGCTGTGGGCTTCGCAAATCCTTACCAAAAGACTCCCTACTTTCATACTTTCAGCTTCGTGTTCACTCACCAAAACGACCGACGAGCGCAAGACTGAAAAGCCTTCCTCCTTCTCCAAATGCATATCTTCCTCCTCAACGCATACCCTTCCCATTGCCCTTTCGCTTTCCCCATTAGTAGACCGGAGACCTCCATGACATCCAACCCTCTCTACTATTCTTCCACACTTTCGCCCTGCCTCCCAACCCCCCCCGTAGATCCTAGGTAAGTACGCAGCACCTCGAAGTCATAGCCTTATCATTGCCCTTCGCTTCCTCCAACTCCCAATGCTAGCATTAGTAGAACCGAGAACGCCGTGACAGCCAGCCCCTCGATACTACTCCTTCTCTCTGCCTCTCTTCTTCCCTCCTCCCGTAAATCCATACTTGCACAAGCACTTTCACGCCTCTCCCACTACCCCCTCCACTCACAACCTCTCACTCATCAAACCACCCCACCCCTCCCCTCACAGCGAACACAAAAGTCTCCAATCATCAAAAAGAACCAACACAAGCATCAAATTAACCAACTACTTCTCCCCCCCCTCCTCCTCCCCCTCCCCCACCCTCCCCTGCTCCTTCCTCGCCTTCTCCCTCCTCTTCCTCTCCTCCTTCCGCTCCTTCTTCCCCACCTTGACCCCCTTCGCCTTCAACCCCTTCTCCTTCCTCAGCTTCTTCAACGCCTCCTCTGTCAACCCCTGCCTAAACATCTGCTCCACCACCATCTTCTTCCTGCTCCTCCGATCCCCGACCGTAATCGTGATGCCCGCACTGATATTACAGCAAATCGAGCACGTCAAAATCACCGCTGTGAGCGCCTTGGGCCGGTCCTTATAATAGATCCCCCACGTGGTCCCGCCCAGCGCCATCTGGAAGCACGAGTGGCAGTCCAGCAGCACGACGATGGTAATCAGCAGGCGCAGCGAGAACGCGCGATGCGTAAACGTCTCGTGGGGTTTGTAGAACGTGTGGCTCTTGGCGAACTTGCCCTGGTGGTACTCGAGCTTGCGCTGCTGCTCCTCGGTGAGCACGATGCCCTCCGGGTCCTCGTCGGACTTGTCGATGACGGACTGGTTCTCGATGTCGCGGTTGCTGTCGGGCAGCGTGGGCAGTTCGTTGTGGTCGCGCAGCTCGGGCAGGGCGCGCTGCTTGCGCAGTTTCCAGGTGAGGTGCGCGTAGCGCGCGATGAAGATCATGTGGTACGTGTCGACGGCGCGGAAGGGCGCGAAGCCGATGCCGACGACGCAGAAGAGGGCTGTGAGGATTTGGTCGCAGATTTCGATGAAGTAGGCTTGCCGGTCGCCGACGGAGATCCAGCCTGGGACGGGTATTAGGACTTGTAGATTTTGGAGGGGATTGGTGGTTAGGGGGCAACGTACCGATGATGAAGAGGACCCAGGCGGCGCCCCAGAAGGTAAGTAAAAATGCGTATAATGTGACGAAGAATCCAACAGCTGATGCAATGTTAGCAATGTTCCATTAGTATTCCTTGGAGTACTTACGCTTTTGAACATATTTTCCAAACCCACGCATCCCTCTCTTGAAAGCAGCTCGTCGCGAGTGTAATAGATGTCTGACGTGGTCGTTCAATTCCGCTTTATCCTCCGCACTCCATCCCTCTAGCGACGCGCCATGTGGCAGGACAGCGTAGTTGTGCCCTTCTTCCAGACTAGTCAACACAGAAGAGATGGTTGCCGAGCTTTCATATCGATTTAAGTACGGCCGTTGTGGATCCTTCTCCTCGTCATAGGCCTGGTCCTGGCTCGCGATGCCCTCGATTCCTTGGAGGAAGTTGTGTGGTGGCTCTCCGTGGGCAACGCCAATGTCTTCATCCGTGGAAGAGTCGGAATCGGTGGAATGCCTGGAGAGGTCGTATGTAGGTTGTCTGCGGTAGAAACTACCGAGGTTAGGGATGAAGAGGGAGTTTTGTACGTTGTTTAGGGTCGTGAGGGTTGCCACTTCGGGATCTGATAAAGGAGTTTCGATTAGCATTTAGTACCGTATGGAGGCGGCAAAGTATCTTACCAATAACATCGAGCATGTCAATAATATTTGAATCATACTCCTGATGGTCCTGGCCAGACGCTGCAAGCATATTGGTGCCGGAAGGTAGCCTGTGCAGTATATTTCTAGCCGAAGTGCTCGCTCTTCGCCGCGAACCTGACGGAGCGATGGGTGGAACCGAGAGATTTTCGGAATTGCTTGGATGTGCAGATCCATCTTCCTGGACGGGTGAGAGGTAGTTCGATTGCGCTGTCATCTGCCTCCTAATGGCAAGGTCGTCGGCCAGGGCGGAGAGCTGCGGCCGTTGAGGCTCGGAGCTGCTCCGCCGGCGATTCGAGGGCCCATCGTTCGTGTCGTGCTGCTGAGTTTGAGGTACATTCGCAGACGATCGCACTGGTTGCTGATATAAAGAGTTCGAGGACGCAAGTCTGCGTAGACGGAATCCCGAACCCGCCCGCGAAACCGTGGGACGTTGCGGAGTCGAGGACAAGGATGGCTGCAGTGGCGCTGGTCTCCTGGGGACGATGGAAGTGAATGTGGGGCCTGTGGTGGTGGTGGTGGTGGTGGTGCTCAGCCCATTGCTGGAGGTGGTGGTATTTCTAGGTCCTGAGGTCGTGGTGACTGTGTTCGAGGATCGGGGGTCTGAAGAAGTAGTCGTCGTGGTTGTTGTGGTCGTTGATGAGGGCGGATGGACAGAGATTGAAGGAGCATGATCGCGTCGCGAAGGCTCGTCTTGGCTGCTGGGACGGCGGTCTGCCATCTGGATGAGGCGCTTTTCGAATGGTGATGGTGGAGGATGGCGATCTTATCGAGAGGGCATCTAATCCGTCGTCTCAGACGCAAAAGCTTGTGCAGCGCCTGGACTTGCTTACCACAGCCACTAAGGCCGGCACATCCGCACGCCCCCGTCTTGTGATATGACGTATTGGGCGATGATTCGACGAGTTCAAGCTTGCATATGCACGATGGTCCGGGGTTGAGTTTGAATCAGCAGAGGTCCGAGGGAGAGACCGTAGGGCACGTTGGGAGAGTATGGTGGTAGGTCGTTTGGACAATGGAAACACCACGGCGGCATCGTTTCAAAGCAAATCGGATCGCTGCACCACCCCTTCCGGGCGTGGGAAGCGCCAAGGCTGCCATAATCGAGATGCCGTGAATTGGCGCTTCCGGCTTCCCGTCGGTGGATGCATGCCACTCGCCAGGGTCCAGCTTTCTTTATTTCTTCACTTCTTCACTTCTTCATTTCTTCATTTCTTCATTTCTTCATTTCTTCATTTCTTCATTTCTTCATTTCTTCATTTCTTCATTTCTTCATTCTTCAGTTCTTCAATACTTCTAATATTTTCCAGCGCCATGGAAATCTCTTCGCCCATAGAATTTCTGTGTTGATACATGTCGATCTAAATCTTGCCGCTCTTAAAGGCCCGAATGCAGTGCTCAGATTGTGCAACATGTTAGCTGCATTAGACAGCTTTTGGGTGCCAAACAATGTTTAGGTGCCCCCGCTGTGAGTCAGCTTTTTCTCTTAGCGCGCAATCGAGCGCGGAAGTTTAGCATCAATGACTGATCCCGCTGACTTGTAATCATTTCCGAGTTCGGATCGTGATCCAATATACTATACAAAAGTCAACGATGACTGCTATACATGAGCCTCGTTGAAAACGCTACTCCCCCTGAGCGCCAAATGAATCAAGACCACTCTATCCAACACCTTAGAAAGGAGATCCGAAAACGCCGTCGCTTGCCCCACAATCAATTCCCGCGATGTAGTAACAGGACTAAGTCAAATGCCCTTCTCTGAATGAGTGCGGTCTTATACCAGTTACCCCATAGGCGAGATCCTCTGCCCAAGCAAATGTCCAAGAGGATGTTGTCTTTCTATTTGAAAGAGAAATGTTAGCTCAATAAAGAAGTGACTAGGAGAGCAGCATTTAATCATAATGTCGGTGCTCGCTTCAAACCCATGCAATATCGGACATATAGCGCATCCTTGAAATGCTCGTGTCTGATTCCCGGCGGGCGCGCTGTCTCAAACTCCCGAAGGGCCGCAGGAAGACTGTAGCCTAAGCGCTCGACGAGGTAGCAGACAAGAAAAAAGCCGGTGCGGTTGAAGCCGTAGTGACAGTGTACTCCAATCAAACCTTGCTTTCCTGAGGCAAAGACTGAATCTCCTGGAGGGGATGCTGAAAGCGATATGGCCTTTGCTTCGGTGGGTAGTGTTGTTGGAGTAGCCTGAGAAGTACCAGAGACTGCGGCCGTAGAGAGTGGAGCTGACGAAGATGTAGCCTGTGCGTCAGCAGCCGCAGATTCTGCCCCGGCCGCTCCAGGCTCAGAGCGAAGCTGGTCGATGAGTGCAATGAAGGCATTGACCTCGTCCACAGTGGGTGGAAGTTTAGACACGGTGGGAAATTTGCGGTACATGATGCCCCCAGCTTCGAGACCTGCCGGATCATACACTGGGCTCTCGTGGCTGATGTCGACTACCACTGCAATCTTTGTTTTCCACTCATCGACAAAAACCTTTGGGCAATGCTGCTCATCGACTTCACGCAGGGTCTTCATGGCACGGAAGACGCCCCCGATCGGTTCCGAGACGGGCTTCACTGCCTGCCATTTAGCTAGATTCTTTACATCCCACTTTCCTTCGGTAGTCAAATACTGCAACTGCCATCCGAGCGATAGACGGGCATCCACGTGGGTTGACAGGAAGGTCCCGATGAGGCCAGCAAGAGTACGTGAAGTAGTAGGCGCATACAACAAAGCGTGCGACGCAGGGTGGGGAAGGACGGTCGTCTTGAGTACAAGCTTACGAGGAAGAGGCTCTGGGATATGGGTTCTCGATATCGGACTAATAGTACTTGATGAATCAAAGCCCGTGTCACATTCTCCTGTGGATGACAATGTCGAAGAAGTCGTCAAGTCGGGTAAATCCGAAGAATCCACCCCAGAGTCTTGCTTGGTCTCGCGGCGGGGCGGAGGCTTGGCCGCGGAGTCGATGGGCGCGGCAGAATCCGGCACTACTTGAGCCTTAGATGCAGGAGATCGGCCGCTATCAGAAACGTCTTTGCCAAGGAAAGAGGCGATATCTTTCAATTCACTAGCAGGAGTGACAAGGTCGGCTTCACCGGCTGCTAGAAAGACGGGTATTTGAAGCCCGGACCAGGTTTCCTTTCCGGGTAAGCCCCCTTGAGCGGCTCCAGAAGAGTAATCCGGAAGCATGCCTCGCGCCATGCGTCGCCAAACCGGGGTCTTGCTTTGCATATTGAAGCGCAATTGTAGCTTTTTGGCCTCCTCTTCTGCGCCTGGGCCGACGAATCTAGCAACACTTTTGCTCTCGGTACCACCTCGGCGATCCCACCATCGCATAGCGTCAAAAATGGGATTGGGGATAGCAAGGAGCAACTTGAGTCTTTTGGCTTGGTCTTGGGTTGGAGGGGTAGCTTTCGGGCACACTGCCACAAGCCCCACTACGTGTCGCGATATCGCATCAGCATATGGCGACGATGACGAAGCAAGAAGCGCAGCTAAAGAGCAACCCATGCTGTGGCCGATAAGAACAACGCCTTGATCATGTCCTTTGTCGCGATAGGATTCAATGACCACAGCGAGAAGACGGACTAGAGCATCGGTCGTATATGCCTCCCAGGTGGCCGGGGTGAATTGGGAGACGCCACAGCCGGGAAGGTCAATGCTCAGACATGGCGCAAGGTTAATGAAGCTCACGAGCAGAGGATGGAACTGGGCCACGGATCCGCCAAGGCCATGGATGAAAACCAGCAATGGCACTGGCCGCGGCGTCTGAGGAAGCTTGTCGCCTTGGGAGTGGGGCCGGTAGAAAGTGCGGATTGCCGGATAGGTAAAATTGGTGGTTGGCACCGTGTACGACCTTATGGTGGAGTGTTTCTTAAGCAGGCCGGGATCGGTACTGGCGGCATCTGCCATGTGTCAGCGGCAGAACTAGAAGCCCTAAAAATGCAGCGTGAGGGCGAGGGGAAGCGGGAAGTTATGCAAGATGCAGGCGGGAGGGGTGCAGCTCTGAGGTCGTGATAAGGTCACATATTGTGGCAGGGTGCATGTCGATCCCGAGGAAAAGAGGCCTACCAGCTCCAATTGAGTCGGACACGTCGCTGAGGGAGCCGCTGGAGGCCGGTCGCTTCTGGCGATGCCATAGCCAGAGGGCGGGAAGGAAGCCACAGAAGGCCGCAACTTTGACCATGCCCACGAGCGTCACGGGACGGAGGGAGTGAGCCGAGTTTGAGGAGAAGATAGAGCGGAGAGCTGAAGATATTGAGCTTCTTATAGGCGCGAGACAGGTCGCGAGAGCAGGATCGGTGAGCGATGGGAAGGCCTCTGCCCGGCCGGGCGCCAGCAGCAGGAGGAGCAGGGCGTGCGGCAGTGTCAGCAGTGCATGGCCGTGCGAATAGTCGTCCATGGCGAGGGCCGTGGGAGGAGCTGGAATATATGATTTGGACGGGCGGAGAAGCAGCACAGGCGGTGGTGAGCAGAAGCACCTGCTGGCGGGCTGGGCCAATGGGTAGCAGGCGTCGTGAATCGTGCCCTCGGGTTTGGCAGTGGATCGTTGGTGCCTGACTGCCTCGGGGCGATCCGCAGTTGCAGGCCCTGGCGCGCCCGATGGAGACGACTCAGCGGGACGGAGGCAGCGGGGGCGTGGTAGAGGCACCGCAGCCTCATCTCTGGTGTTGACGGCTACTGGCGGCCGTGGTGGTGAGACGCGGGTTCAAAAGCTGCCCGCGTGGAAAAACAGGAGCGTGGGGCCTGCAGGCTTGGTGCGTGGCGACGCGGGGCGAGATGCATGCGTTGGGGGCTCATGGAGGGCACCCACGGCACCGCACTTCACGGGACTTGGGACGCCAATGTCGCGATGCTCGATGGTGTTGATGACATCCAGGCGGCCCTGTGGTGTGCTGCCCTGTGCCCTGTGCCCTGTGCCCTGTGCCCTGTGCCCTGTGCCCTGTGCCCTGTGCCCTGTGCCCTGTGCTCTGTGCTCTGTGGTCTGGCGGGTGTTGGGCACAGTACGAGAGGCGCATTCCTAGGGATACCAGGCGAAGAGGGCGCTGCGTGGAGGCGCTATATGCGCGGAGCGGTATGGCCTGCGGGGAGCAGTGCTGCGTGGCGGCGGCATGTATGTACTGCCTATGTCGCGAGCAGTCTCCTTTCAGCCCTGTGACCTCGTGCATTTCTCGCCTCAACTTCCTTCACTCCCCTCGACGTGGTAGCTCCTCAGCACAGCGCGGCCCTTACTCGGCGTTCTCGCCGGATCCGTGGCACCAGCTGCCGGCAGCCGTGTGCATACGCTCCATGCCACTCGGCGGGCCTCTTTTGCGCCCGTCTGTGCGACTATCGTGTGCCCGGGACCTGCACCGGTAGCTTGTACTGGTACCATTGCTGCCATTGGCACTAAGCACCTAGAGACTCCCTAGCTCTCTGCGCTGCTCCATTCGTCCCGCCTCCTCTGTCGTCCAAACCACGGCCGGCGGGGAGACGCCAGCATGATGCCCGTCGCCGCCGTGAGGCCAGGGCCCCGAGGCAAACCACAGCTGCTATCCACAGCCGTCCGAAGGGTGGGGCAGACAGCACATCTGGCCCACGATGGTGGCAGAGAGACGCCCCCGTGGAACCCTGTCCCCGAGTCCAGTAACCCGGTGCGAGAGCCCATATCACCCTGACGGCTGCACCTGCGAGCACTCGACTCATAATCCCTTGAGCTCCCAGATAGCCCGAGATCTGCTCGACGCCGGCGCTTGAGGGCTGCTTGAATACTGATCGCAGAGCCCTGCTCCCCTTCACTACTCCTCCTACCTCATCTTCTCCAGCTGCCCGATTGCGTCAATTCTGTTCACTGTCCTTCCACATCCGAGAATAAGCTCTGCTCACCTTCCTCTAAGTCAATTGACCTTCCTCGCTTGCTGTTGGGGTCTTTCTGTACTATTTTACTACTCTCAGGCCCCACTATATCCTACACTCCACCCTCCAACTTTTACAATACTTGTTTCCTGTCACACAAGTCCTCACGCCATCACCGCCATGGAGCCCTCCGATTCGCGAATACAGAGCCACTCTGACCCTCGATATGCCGAGTTCCGCTCGCTGCCAGATGGCACCATGAGAGACGGAAAGCTTGCGTTGAACAAGTACTCGAGTGTGCTCACAAACGACCATGACTTCCCCGGCGCCCAGGTGAGAGTGACCCGACCGTCCGATCGCGCCACCTCAATTGACCCGCGTGACACAGGCAATGCTTTACGCCGCCGGCGTGCCTGATCGCCAATCCATGAAGACAAGTCCCCACGTTGGAGTCGCAAGCGTGTGGTGGGAAGGAAATCCTTGCAAGTTCGTACAAAACATTCCCCGAAGCCGAGATCCACTTTACTGACTACCAACAGCATGCATTGTAGGTATATACCCAAATTAGTTGCACCTTCTCTCTAGAAGACTCCTCCCATCGCCTCCTAGCCTCAGTTTACCCCGCAAGGATTTGTCTGACATTATTCGTGACCGACAGTGCTGGACCTCGGAAAGGCCGTGAAAGATGCAGTTCAGAAGCAGGGCATGCTGGCCTGGCAATACAACACGATTGGCGTCTCCGATGGCCTCACAATGGGCGGTGAAGGTAAGCCACCCCTGTGCCCCTGCGGGATCTGTGAGATCTCGTGGCATCCCCCAGGATACTGAGTCGTGCACAGGCATGCGCTTCTCGCTTCAAACTCGCGAGATTATTGCCGACAGCATCGAGACCGTCACCTGCGCCCAGCATCATGATGCCTGCATTGCTATTCCCGGATGCGACAAGAACATGCCCGGCGTTATCATGGCATTCGCGAGACACAATCGTCCCTCGGTCATGGTCTATGGTGGCACCATCATGCCCGGCTACAGCGAGACACTCCGCAAGCCCATCAACATCAGTTCATGCTACGAGGCGCAAGGTGCCTATGTTTACAAGACCCTGAGCAGTCCACATAATCCCAAAATCACTCCCGATGAGATTATGGAAGACTTTGAGAAGCACGCCTGTCCTACTATTGGAGCTTGTGGAGGTATGTACACGGCGAACACCATGTCGACGTGCATCGAAGCCATGGGCTTTTGTCTTCCAAACTCGTCCTGCACTCCCGCTGCAGCACCCGCCAAGATGCGAGAGTGCGCGAAAGCGGCTGCCGCAGTCCAGGTGTGCATGGAGAAGAACATCCGCCCAAAAGACCTACTCACCAAAGCTTCTTTCGAGAATGCGCTAATCATGATGATGATTCTTGGAGGCTCCACCAATGCTGTCTTGCATCTCCTCGCCATGGCCGGCACGGCAGAAGTCCCACTCTCTCTTGACGACTTCCAGCGTGTGTCCAACAAGATCCCTCTCCTTGCGGACCTCGCGCCCTCTGGCAGGTTCTACGTTGCTGACCTATACGACATTGGTGGTATCCCATCCGTCATGAAGCTCCTCTGTGCAGCCGGCCTGATGAACGGCGATATCATGACCATCACTGGTAAGACCTTGGCCGAGAACATCGAGTCTTTCCCATCCCTGGCACAAGGCCAGGAAATTATCCGATCACTCGACAACCCCATCAAATCTACTGGCCACATCGAGATCCTGCGAGGTAATCTCGCACCCACTGGTGCTGTCGCCAAGATCACTGGCAAGGAAGGCACCAAGTTTGTTGGCAAGGCGCGCGTCTTCGATAAGGAGGTGGAGCTCGACGAAGCCCTAAATGAGGGCAAGATCCCACGCGGGGAGAACCTCGTACTCGTTGTTCGATATGAGGGACCCAAGGGTGGCCCTGGTATGCCGGAGCAGCTAAAGGCATCTGCCGCGCTTATGGGTGCGAAGCTCACTAACGTCGCGCTCATCACCGATGGCCGATACAGCGGTGCTAGCCATGGCTTCATCGTTGGTCACATCTGCCCCGAAGCTGCCGTTGGAGGACCGATCGCCGTGGTGCGCGATGGAGACATCATCACGATTGACTCGGAAAAGAACTTGATCGACATGAACGTGTCGGACGAGGAGATCAAGAAGCGGCTCGCTGAGTGGACTCCGCCCAAACCGAAAATCACTCGCGGTGTCTTGGCCAAATATGCCGCCTTAGTTGGAGATGCATCTCACGGAGCTATGACCGATCTCTTCTAAGCCTCTATGGACGCATATGGCATGGACTTCTAACGATATACTGCCTTGCGATGCCAAAGACACGGGATCTGGATTCCAGGTCTAACTCTTTGGGTCATCTTTTATGTTCTGCTTTTGCTATATTATCCTTTTCTACAACAGGAACTGCATACCTCCAAAAATTCCCTTATAGATTAGTCTCCCTTATTTACTCTATTCCCAGTGTCCATCCTCCACCAATAGCATTTCCAAATTTTTGCTTCTCGCGGCCTTCTAGCGGCAGGACGGGAAGTGGAAAGACACATGGGGGCGCTGGGTTAGGGTCATGCATGCGAAGCCTGGAGTAGGGGCGTAGGGCACTTAGACAAAAGCATAACTAGGGAAAATTTGAATCTTTGATACTTACACGAAAGCTGCGTACATATTCTTATAGTTGTTGTTCTATCAAGCACGTGCACGGACGCCGAAACCGGTAAGCGTGGGCGCTTGGACCACTTGGGCCACGCCATTCCTACCATTTGGAGATCTGTTCGAACTTCCATCCATCCTCCTATTTTTCGTACTCATCTCAGCTATATACTCTCTTCTACGGAAATTGACGATTGATTGTTCGCTCACATTATTTTGCTTTCAACTAGCGTGATGGCGTTCACTCCCCCCGAAGGAAAGTAGGCTCGCACGTTGAAGAGTACAGTGCGAAGAGGCACGGAGCCACGAAACTGCGAACTCTTAATGCAGGACTCTATGATCTCAAGTAAGAATAACTTGCGATTTTACGATCGTGATTGCTTTGGTCACGTCCCTTTCATCGATGAGGCAATGGAGTGGTTGCTGGTAAGCCGTTTGCGCACGACAAAGACAAAAGAATAAGGTGCTATTTCAAGTTGCCTTTGTGTGTGCCAAACATTCCATTAGCTCAATCTCTGCGTCTAGTTACTGGTAACAAGTCCATCCATCTGCTCTGTAGGCTATTCAATCTGCGCTTTTCAAAACTCACTAGACGGCCGATTTTTTGTGTATTGTCGTTCACAAATCTCCATCTCACCATGTCGACAGCCGATGACATAAGGCGACGGGAGAATCGTGCAAGAGGGGAGTTTCCCGGTTTGTACGATGCACTAAATGCACGGGATGGTGGCGATGCAACGTGGTTTCTGAAGTATTACAAACAGCGTGAGGAGTAAGCCGACCGTAGCTAAACCAACGTGAGCGATCTGTTGCAATCGACCGTTTTAGTGGACCTGGACAATCCAATCAAGGACCAGGCCAAGGTCCAACCTGGATTAATCGGGTTGTAATCCAGTGAATTGACCCCGCATACGCGTTTTAGGACGCGTTTTGTGGCTTTTCACGCGCTGTTTTGACCCCCCCCACGACCCCCACGGGTACCCCTTTTCTACGCACATAGTGAATAGAGGTCCGTGCCTAGTCTGGAAACGGTTCAAACCGGTCACAATTCCTCTCTAATAAAAAGTGCTAAGTGATTGATTAGGAATAGATTGCAAACTATACCCCACAAACTCGCTCCATCGGCTTACTCCTTACACTGGGAAACCCCCTCCATTAATGCAAAAAGAGCAAATGCTAGAGCCCGATCATAGACGAGTTAGGGCTTCCCTATTCACACCTGTTTGTACCTTCTTTCATAGTTGTAACCGTTCCAGCCGCCGTTGGTGCGTTGGATATTCTGGGTCATCCTCCCAGGGCCAAGCGGCCTGTGACGACGTGCCTGAGGTTGCTGTTGTAGTGGAACTAGAAGCCGCTGTAGTCGTGGCAGCCGCAACATGTGAGGCGGATGCTCCCGCCATAGTGTAGGTGCCGGTAGAGAGGCTGGCGTCAATAGCATAGCCGGCGGCTCCTTGGCTGGTCATGATGCTTTCTCCACTCATGCTCATATTATCGTAGGCTGTTGCGCCGGAACCTTTCCCTGTAAGGTAAACGTGGGCCTTCTTTTTGCCGGTCAGCTCAGCAGTAATGTGCTCATGACCACTACACTGGGCTTTGATCAAACTGTCTACGCTGAAGTCTTTCGGTGGTGATCTATAGAGGCAGTCAGCTTACTAGGCCAATAGTAAAGAGATTTTAAGATGTCTTATAAAGGTAAGTTTCCTGCTTAACCTACTTAATAACAGCGGTAACGGCACCAACTCGCACAGCTATTAGATACGTGAAATGTTTAGTAAGAGCCTTCATTGTATCCACTAAGATCCCCTTATTGGCTGCTTCTGTCAGCAGCCGCTGTTGTGCGGCAAGACCCCATCTAACACGTATCGTGCCGATGGAAGCATCGTATACATTAGCTGCCAGGCGATTGGAGTATCGCGCGGGAACAGCGCCACCGCTACTGCTACTGGCTTGGGTGGTCGTGCCCCTACTTTGAACTTGCGCCGTGTATTGAAACCATTGCGTTGTGTTTGCTCGGCGATAATAGTAAGTGGTACCTTGGTTACTGGCATAATCGTGGGTTCCGTCGGATGTGAGCTGGTATGAGTATCCGGAGATAGTAACCGTTGCCATTGTGCTGGTTTGCAGGCCGTAAGCATCTAATATTAGGTGGAACGCGAACAATATGTACATGAAAGCCTTGTTTTGCTACAGCATGGTTTGCCGTAGGTGATTGTCATAATCCAACACATTGTGAAATAATGCTGGAGGTTTCGCGCTGTGTTGTTTGGATATTAAGACGTGTAAATGTGAATAGAAAAGCGTATAAATGGGATGTGAAAATAGGAATAATACAGGGGAGCGCTACTCGTACACCCCCTAATCGCTACATGTACACCCCCTTACCCCCTCTTGGAGCTTCACCACCTTCTGATTGGCTTAGAGCAGCGCGGAGCTTCCTCCGGGCATTCACCCTTACGTCTCTCTGCACGTGATGCTATACGCGAGGCCGTATGTGAGCTTGTACGTGAGCTTGGACGTGAGCTTGTACGTGAGCTTGTACGTGAGCTTGTACGTAAGGCTACACAAATCGGCATGATGTGATTGCTTGTGTTGTACATAGCTGCATTTGGAGAGAGCATTCGGAATTAGTGAGCGAGTTAAGCGAGCGAATTGGAGGCTCCGGAGCCGTAGCCCGAGCCAATAGGAAGGCGGTGAAACGCCAATAGTGCAGGGGGTGTGCAGGTAACCATCGCCCTTATTAAAGTGTTGAAATTTAGTAATATTGTTAGTTAGGGTTTAAGAAACTGTGCACAGAGGTGGTAGCGTGCACGAGCCCGTGGGCACTTCTAAGCCAACGGCTGACCCAACTGTTTTCCCACCACACAGCACTCACCACCCACCACGCTCTTCACCCACCCTTTGTCCATTCATACTCACCCAGTTACTCGCTTCCATACACATAGGCGCCAGCAACACCCGACCCAGTGACAACATCTTGAGACCTACGACCGCCCCCGCCGAATCACACCCTAACCATGACCGACTGCGGCGACCGTGTAAACTCTGACGACGAGGAAGAGGTCGAGGACCTCGAGGAGAATGCTGAACCTCTTTTACTATACTTTCAGCAGCCATTCTATTATCCGATCTGCATTGGAAACGTCCTGGCCCAGAGATATCGCATAGAGCATAAGCTCGGCCACGGCGGCTTCTCTACCGTCTGGATGGCCCATGACATCGTAACAAAGAAGGACGTCGCCCTCAAGGTCACTACTCTTGCCAGAGACGCGGCAGACCCTGAAAGCACTATGCATAACGAAATCCGCCGGCGCATCCGGGACACGTCCAAACTTCTCCTTTCTCACGAAACCTTCTCGCTTCCTAGCCCCAACGGTCACCATAGAGTCCTGGTGTTTCCCCTGCGAGGCCCCAGTCTTCACTCCTGCTTCGCCAGCATGTCCATGGCCAATCGAATGTCCGCGGCGAAGCAGGTGCTACAAGCTTTGAAATGCCTGCACGACGCCAACATCGTCCATCGAGGTCCGTTTATAAACCCCCCCCCCCCATTTCGCTTACCTCCTTTGCGCTTACACTCTATAGACCTGAACGACAAAAACATCATGTGCGGCATCGTGCCCCTTGACGCCTATGACATCAAGATGAAATACCAGTACCTCGGCCGGCCTAAAAAGATCCTCCTGCAAACTCCGGCAGGGATGCAGGGAGAGCTCGTTAGGCCAGTAGTGGTCCCTCCCAGCTTACTCACTCAATCAGTCTATCTCGGCGATTTTGGCCTAGCAATGAATGCGGGCACTTCAGTAAACTACAAGCCACAATCGCCTAGCGCCTGGTGTGCCCCGGAACGGCTTCATAACACAGACCCAAGTGCTGCCAGCGACATGTGGAGCTACATGTGTGTTTTCACAGAGCTCTATCTTCGCACTCTCCCTTGGTCCATCTACGGCGATGCGCTGCCCGGCATGGTCAAAGTCCTCGGTCCACTACCCCAAACTTGGTCCGGCTATTACCACCAACCCACCAGAACTGACGCTTCATGGTACGATCCGAGGAAGCAGCCTGAATTCACCCTTGAAGCAATGATTGCACACGCCCGCCCTGACGTCAGTTCGACCGAGCGTACTCACGTACTGTCCTTTATGCTAAAAGGATTCTCTTATAATCCTCAGCATCGGATAACCGCTGCGCAACTTTTGTACAATGCTTCATTTCAAGCCGTCATGAGAGTGTATTGTGCCTAATACTCTCTTCTTCGGCTTTTCCGTATCTACGTTCCTCCTACATTGCATAGCTAATATCCAAGAAGATGAGATTGAAGTCGAGTCCTTAAATACTTCCAGCGCCTCTAGGTAGTCTAAGAGATTACGGCTAACAGTAGTGTACGAATCGCATGCGACCTACATTCCCACAGTGAAGAGATTGTTGGTCTGATGGCCGAATGCGGCAGTTATAAGTAAAAGAAAAGCAGTACTAGATCAATATTCTCCTTTCTAGGACAAATCGAAGTTGACCATTCAGAAGTACTTTCATACTCTAACCACAACCCTCTTCTAAGCTCCACCACCTCTCCCCTACCCATACAAACACTCATACCGCCACTCCTTCTCCGGGACATCCCGATACTTAATACTAGTCAGATGCTTCGGCCTCGCCGGCAACACCCTCCTAATATACAACCCCCCAACATCCACTGCCTCCCCCCTCTCCTCCCCCTCCTCTACACAACACTCCAACACCCCCAACCGCGCCCCGGGGCCAGGCGTCAAGAAAAACGGCAACGAATACCGCCCCGCCCCCGTCTTATTCCGCACCCGATGCACCGTCGCCACGAACCGCCCCGCCGTCTGCCGCTCGAGGTACTGGCCCACGTTGCACACGAACGTGCCCGGCGCGGGCGGCGCGTCGATCCACACGCCGTCTTTATTCAGGATCTCGAGCGCGGCGACCGAGTCTTGCAACACCAACGTCAACCAACTGAAGTCGGAATGCGCGCCGAGACTTATGCCCTCGGCGTCTCCCTCAGTCGGCGGGGGGGTTAAAGGCGGGTAATGCAAGCGCGCGCGCATCCCCCAGATGAGAAAACGTGAAAAAAGGCCGGCAAACGCCGTCTCCTCCAGACCAAACGCCAGCGCGAAAATCTGCACTAATTTCGCAGCCAGCGGCGTCATCGCCCGCGTAGTACGCATACATCGCCTCGCGGAACCAGTCCTCGCCCTCGGGCCATATGCTCTGCGGCTTGGTCATGTTGCATGCTGGAGGTGTGCCGACCTTGGAAATGTAGCCTTGCTCAGGCTCGAGCGGGCAGTCGCCCATGGTAAACGCTTCCTTGGTGTCGCCGCGCGTGCGCGGGTCGAGGCGCGTTTCGAACATGGGCTCGAAGCCGCGGATGGCGGGGTTCTTGTGCACGTGGGCGGTCATCTTGGTGGAGTGGGGGAGGGAGAAGAAGCGCGTCATGGCGGCGAAGGTGGAGGCTTAGAGGGATTGGGGGATGCCGTGGTTGGAGAGGTAGAAGAAGCCGGAGACGCTGCACGCGGAGTAGATTTGGGCGGCGATTTGTTGGCGGGAGGAGAGGGAGGGGGTGGGCGAGGTCAGGGCGGAGATGTCGATGGTTGGGATGGTGGTGAAGGCGCCGGGGGTTTTGGTGACTTTGCGGTAGGTGGGCGTGGTGCCGGAGTGGAAGAAGACGTCCTGGGTTGAGGTTAGACGGGATATTTTTCAGAGTAATTCGTTGTGAAGCTAGGAATGGTATCCTGTAAGGAATTGCCTACCTCGTCGTCGCCTGCTGGTGGTGGTTCTGTCAATGTTTCTGACATCCTTAGATGAATTGCCAAAGTTTCTCGACACACTATGTCGCCTACTCCTCTACGAATAGCTTAAAAGCTTCAAAGGTTTCGGTTTTGTTCTCAAGCTCGACGAGACCCCACCTGAAAAGCACTGACGACGGCATATAGAATACACCGTTGGCACTGGGGATGCAAGCTCCCGAAGGTGGGGAGACAGCCCCGCCAACCTCCCTGTACGTGTTTATCATTCCCTCTTTCGCCGAATGGTCTTCAGTAGAGTACTATCTGCAACTAGACTTCCATAACATCCATATCTTATCCATCGGACTTGTCCGATCCGTCGGATTCGCACCGAGAGCCGCCCATTTCTCCTATCTCCAGATCTCATATCTTCAGGATGAGTAGAAATACGTCGGGGATCCCAGGAGCTTTACTGCTCCAATTGCCTTGGCTTGATCTGCCTCGACTGAAATAATTAGAGGGATGAGGAACTGGTGATACTACCCAATTCCATTTTTCATAATTCGTTTAAGATGGGCTACTGGAGCGAAGTCTTCTCCTCCTCCTACGGCAAAGACAAGCCCAAGTTCTTCTGGTGGTATCCCGCCGGCACGTCCAAAGCCGAGAAGAAACTCCTCACGAAAGTCGACTTCTTCATCCTCAGCTATGCGTGTTTGGGGTACTTCTGCAAATGGCTGGATCGTGCGTAACCACTACACCCCACCTCCTCATCTATCTTCAATTTTACTAGACCTCAACTGATAAGGATACAACTTGTAGAAGCCAACCTCTCCAACGCCTTCGTCAGCGGCATGAAAGAAGACCTGCACATGTACGGCAACGAATTCAACCTCGCAAACACGTGCTTCCAGGTCGGCGTCATCCTCGGCGGCATCCCCTCCAACTTGCTCTTGACCTGGGTACCGCCGCGGTACTGGCTACCCGGGTGCGAACTCGCATGGGGACTGATCACTATCGGCACGTACAAGGTTACCTCGTACAACCAACTCTACCCGCTCCGCTTCTTCCTCGGTCTCCTCGAGGGGACAAGCTTCGTGGGTGTGCAGTACGTCCTCGGGAGCTGGTACAAGCGCACGGAACTGGGGAAGCGAACCGCGATTTTCGCGTGCGCGCCGTACGCGGGGACAGCGTTTGGCGGGTACATCTTCAGCGGCGTGAAGGCGAGCATGGATGGGAAGGATGGGTTGGCGGCGTGGCGGTGGGTGTTTATTATCGATGGGATCATTACTAGTACGTTCCCGCTTCGCATCCTAGGAATTCGCAGGAAGTGAGAGAATGCTGATAGGCGACAGTTGCTGTGGCGATCTACGGCTTCATAGTCTTCCCCGATACCCCCGAGGCGACGACAGCGTTTTATCTGAATCCGGAGGAGAGGCAGCGGTGTTGCGATCGCCTGGTGGAGGATGAACGCGAGCCGATTGGGGATTTCTCGTGGGGGCTGTTTTCGAGGGTTGTGAAGAGTTGGCAGTTTTATATTTTGACGGTGTTGTGGATGTGAGTACTCGAACGTTTAAGACCCAGAGGTAGCGGGTGATGCTCATATTATTCTAGGTTCTGGAACACGACTGTTGGAAAGGTCGCGAACACGGTCTTCCAGCTCTTCCTGAAAAAAGATAAGGAGCACACGTGGTCCATCTACCAGGTGAACAACATACCGACTGCTATCAACGGGTTTAATATCGTCATGGTCATGGCGGCGAATATCTACGCTGATGCGACGGGGAGGCGGATGGTGATGATAATGATAAACTTGGTGAACACCCCTTTCCCCGCATCCTCGCTTCATATTCCGAATCTTCGTTAATGTCCATCACCCAGGGCATCCTCCTCTTTGGCACAATCTGCCTCGCAATCTGGGACATCCCTCTCGGGCTCCGGATCGCTTCCTACCTTTTTGCGGGCTGCGATGGGCCCCTTAGCCCTATGTTCATGGCATGGGCCAACATTCTTTGCGGAAACGATAAACAAGTCCGCGCAATGACGATCGCGGTGATGAATTCGTTCGGAAATGCCCTTACCACCATCATCCAACAATTCCTTTATCCGGTGACGGATGCGCCAAAGTATAAGAAAGGATTTCCGGCTAGCTTGGCGTTCATCTGTGGAATGGCAGGGTGGGTGTTTGTGGTGAGATATTTTGAACTGAGGACGCTGAAGAGGAAAGAGTTGGATGGGGAAGAGGTGGGCGAGATAGACAGTCAGGGGAAGGGATGGACGGGAGAGGCGAAGGGGAAGGCTGGTAGTGTGACTGTAGGTGCGGTGAAGGAGCTGGAGGGATAGATATGATAACGACCACGGCCAACCACGACCAAGCAACAAGATACCGCAATGAAACCTACCTACCAGCCAAACCTCTCAATGCTCCCTCAGCCCGTCCAAATAAATCAACAACCTCTTCTTAATCACAAACCCCACCAGCCTCCCACTCCCCTCCTCCGTCACACACAAATACCGCAACCCCAACTTCCCAAAGATCTCAACCGCAAACTCCATCGGCGCCTTTGCGCTCACACTCACCGGGCTTCGATCCACGAAACTCCCAATATCGCACCCCTCCTCTCCCTCCAGCGCATCACCCAGCACCCGAACCTCCACATCCATATCCTCCCCACACCGCTCTCCCACCATCCGTAGCCCATACTCTAGCTCTGCCTCTGCAATATACCCCTGGCACACCCCCTTCTGCACGAGCACGATCCCGCCGTCCATCAAGCCCCTCCGATGCAGGAATCCTAGTTTCTCAGCGAGTAGCTTGTGCGGAACTCTGTTAGTAGACGGTATTTCGAGGGTCAGCTCGACCATCGTAGCCGGAGGTGGTATCAGCGCTTCAACGAGGGCGGAGGGCTGGTGTTGGATCAGATGTAGCGCGTGTTCGGTGTCCAGAAACGGGTGGCCGAGGACGGATTGTGCGAGGTCGTAGACGGATTCGGCGGAGAGGGCGTCGGCGGTCCATTTGGCCGCTAGGATGGCGATCATGTGGGGGAGGGTGTATTCGAGTTCGCCGGTGAGCTGAGGGGGGTTAGTTTCACTGGGTTTAGAGTAAGAGAGGATGGGATAGTATGGGATGGAATGGAAGAGTGGTGGTTGGGAAACATATACTGTACCTCGAACATGATCACGCAGAGTGAGATAGTCATTCGACCGACGCCTGCGAGGAAGGCGGCTGCGCCCACCATGGCGAAGATGCCGGGGGAGATTGTGGGGACCCATTGGCCGACTAGGCGGCCGAATAGAGCGCCCCCTACGAGAGCGGGGATGATGATGCCAGAGGGGACTTTTAAGCCGAAGGTGATTGTGGTTGAGGCAAGTTGGACGAGGGTTCCGTATGCGAGCCACGCGATGTAGTCCCATTTTGCATCATTGCGAGCCTCGTTTCGGCAGACCCAGGTGTCTTTGCCATCGTCGCAGGTGACGAGGAGGTTTTTAATGATCTTGTCGCCCGGGGCTCGGGTTACGGGGTTGGGGTATTGAAGGGCGGCTGTTACGAGGATGACGCAGAAGACCTCGAAGACGGGCTTGTTTTTGATCATTGGGAGACTTTGGGAGTTCAAATTTGAGAGCATCGGGGTGTGGAGAGGTACTCACGATCTAAACCATCTAGCCCATCGTAGATTCAACATTGTGAAGGTCCCACCCCATAGACCTCCAGCAATACCGAGCAATACAAATACGAAATAGTGTTCTGTACGGTAGAGTGTACCATAGTTGGTTTCAAAAAGAACCAATTTCCCAGTTCCATGCGGGTTGAGGACTCTCAGCATCATAGCTGCCACCATTGAGCAGAGGAACGTCCTCCACAACACCTTTCGAGGGAAGTAGACACTGATTTCCTAGAACAACGCCCATCAGCAGCCATCTTATAGGCACTTTCTGACTCAACAAACCTCATAGGCAAAAAGCACACCTCCAATCGGCGCCCCAAATGCCGCACTCAGCCCCGCCGCGCACGCTGCCGATAAAATCTCCCTCATCTTCTTCCCATTCTCTCGATATTTCGGAAAACGCTCAGCCACCAATTGCCCAACACAAGCCGCAATATGAATAAATGGCCCTTCTTTTCCTAATGACATCCCCGTTGCCACCGCGAAGACGGCGCCAACGGCTTTGAGGACCAGAATCTTGAAATCGAGGTAGTGCGGGATTACGAATCCGCTGAGGATCGTCTTGATCTCTGGGATGCCGGAGCCAGCGGACATGTAGAGCGACTTGCCGCCTCCTGTCCCATTATTCGGTAGCTCTCCGTTCATAGATCCCACGCTCGGCAAGGCCGTCTTGCTCAACATCGTAACGCTCGAGCTGATGATCCCGAAGAGCACTGCCCACGCCACGTACACCGCAAACCTAACACCGTAGGAGCCGCCCCACAGCTGATACTTATCGCAAGCCACACTAGCTGCTTCGGCGTACTCGCAGCACGACTCTCTGCTGAGCCATGGGCTGCCGGCGCAGTAGCCGTACTTCCAATCGCCCACGGTCGCGACGGAGAGATCAACGGCCACGGCGACAAAGGCCATGAGGATTCCGATGAGGCTGACGGCGATCCACCCTGAGATAGAGTCGAAATATGAAAGCAGCGTAGCGCGCAGGCCAGGACGGGCGTGGAGGGAGCGCGCGCGGTAGGACTCTTTGACCAGTTCGTGGAGCCAGTCGATGGTGGTGTAGTCATTGTAGGCTAGTCGCTCGCCAACGGAGGTTCCTGCGAGTGCGGCTTCACCTTTCGTGATTACGGAGCGAATGTCTTCTTCATCGTAGGGCGTTGAGAGAAGGTTGGTGCGCTCGGTCGGTTCGTGATGATTTGAGGACATTGAGGGATGCTAGGGAACTCAGTAGTCATCGAGCGTATTGTAGACGAGAAAGAGGAAGATAAATGACACAGAAGACGGAACGAGAGAGCAGGAGTGACCATGGTTATGTTCCTCAGAGCTGTAGATCTTGGTAGGAGGTGCTTTTTGGGGTATCTTCGCGCGACGCGGGGTCCCGTAGAGCTCGCGATAGGCGAGTCCCTTTCAACGCCACAATACCCTGCATTTGATAGCCTGGTGTGGGGGAGTAGACGTCAAGGTTGCTATTGGCTTGGTATCATGGCTTGTGGCGTGATTGTGTATCGGGGTTTCTGGGGTGTCATCTTTACAAGACCAGAGGTTCTACTGGGAGAGCATCAGTGGTTTCCATCTGACATCTGCTGTCTGTCTTTCGAGCGGAGGTCCGATGATCCGACGATTGATGGTAAAAGCTTGACTTGGGGGTCACGGGCATGATACTGCGCTAAGGAGGGTGAGTGGCCTTGGGCATTGAATGCTTGAAGCATAGCAGTGTGGAGAAGAGTTGAGGAACTGGGGGAAAGATCAATGCGAAATGACCACCTGCATTTAGTTGCTCGTTGTTGTGTATTGTTAGGAAGCCCCGCCGGTTATGAGAGAGACATGCTGAGTGAGATGTGGGTGGATACCGGGCCGGGCGGAATACGAGTATTCTAAGACGAGTGGATCGCCAACCCTGCTACTGCAGGCGTTATAGCGCCAAGAGCGAGCAAAAAGAGAGGAGCATCTTGTCTCGGGGCGGCACGATCCGTGCAGTGGGACAATGCAAGCCAACGCAAAGGATGCCATAAAGAGTGGTGCGGTCGGCTCTCGACATTGGATCTGCCATTCACTGTATTTAACAGGGCCGAAATACGAGCTGTAAAGCATTCATCGGCTGGCACCACTGCCACCGAGGTCAACTAATCTGTCCAGCGCTGTTGGCTCGCCAGATAAGGAAGCGACTACTCCGTTCCACGGCTCGATTGGGCAAGCGGGGCTGAGTCAGTTTGCAACTCCTCTTCTCCGCCACGTCGCCCATATCTTACATCTTACAATTCTGACCGCCCGCCAATAATTACAGTAACATTCAACTCCATCGCGACCATAATGGGCAGACACGCCAATCCCGATATTCGTCGCGCGTTCGCCGAATTCCAGGACGAGAGCACCCCGTCCAAGGTGAGTGCGCTGCTCCCATCTACAATGCTCCTGCGCCGTGCGACCACGTCGACATGTCCCCAGAAGGCTGCGACGCGGTGCTCTCTCCATCCGCGCTCCTAACTGACGGTCGCAGTGCAACAAGGTACGATGTCTCCATTGCGGCTTCGTTCGCGCAAAGAACACCACCCGCCAGATTGAGCACCTCCAGGAGTGTCAAGCCTACCTCAGCTCCGCCGAAGCGCAGGCGCACATGAGGGAGAACCCCGAAGGCACCCCCATCGACCCCAGCATGCCCGACACCAATACGCGCGCCATTCTCAACGGCACCCATCCCAATCCAAACCTCCAGGTCCACCGTCGTGGCCCCAATGCGAAGCGCGCCCGCGACGGCCTCCCAATCATGCCTCACATGCCTCAGCACGTTGCGCCCTCGCCGCTTGTGCCGTCCTTGACAGCCCATCTCCTCACCGTATGCGGCCCGTCCTTCCAGGCGGCGACACAGACGCCCTTCCTCTCCCATGCTGGTTGTGGCACACTTGCCGCGGCGCCGCTGTCACAATGGCTGGTTCAGGACGGACACTATGCGCGTGGATACATCCGCTTCATCGGACAATTGCTGGCCAAGATACGCCTGCCGCAGACTACCAGTTCACAGTTCCACATTGCGTATCGGACCATGGACTTGCTAATCTCGGCGCTCAACAACATTCGTCGCGAGATCACATTCTTCGAAATCAACGTGACCAAGTATGGCCTTGCTCTCAACAACGACCCGCCGACTCCCATCACTCGCGCCTATCTTGATCTATTCTTGAGCGCGAGTAGCTCTAGCGCATCTATGCTAGAAGGTATGGTGGTTCTGTGGGGCACTGAGCACGTAAGTATTCTATTCATACCTTGCAATTCTTCCAGGGCGACCTTCGGCTTCAGATTTTAGTTCATATTAATCTGATACGCAACTCACCGACACCTCTGTAGTGCTACCGTTCCGCCTGGACCTATGCTGCCACTTTCAGCGGTACCCTTTCCACACCTTCCACTGACGCCCACATCGTCGCCCTCCACCAATCTCTCATCCCCAACTGGACCTCTCCCGCCTTCTCCAAGTTCGTCGACGCTACGCGCGCCCTTGTGGACGAGCTCGCCAACACCACCACCTCTCCCAATGGAAAAGAGGAGATGTTACGTTGCGAGGAGGTCTTCCGTCAAATTTGCTGGCTCGAGGAGCGCTTCTGGCCCGATGTCGACGGCATGGGTCAAGAGGACGACAATACACGCTTAGCCTCAGGCGGAGGCCTGAGCAATTTGAATGGAAATGGCCTGGGCGGTAGTGTCGGACCGCTTGGTGCTGGAATTGGCAGTCAGGGGGACGACGAGACTCCTGGTACCAATGGTCAAACCACCTTCGGTGGGTTGAATGGGATCGAGAACGGTGGCCAGACGTCGTAAGTGCCGTATCTATAGCGATACGGTAGACGTATTTCTGGGCCATCAATACTAATTCAAGATGTCTAGCTCAAAGGAGGATTCTTCAGTCTCCGAGGCAGATGCAGCCTCAGAGACAGATGCGGCCTCCATTGAGGAATATGAAGTTGATTAGGGCTTTGGCTCGCGCCTGACTCATCTAATCAGCTCTTTCAAGGGTTTTCAGGGAGTTCCGGGGAGGCCTCTTGATCTTTCTAGGTGCACTGGGTTCAAGGCTGGGAGGGTGATATGATATCCCGTGATGTGTCTGGGCTTCCTTTCACACTTGTTGTACCGATACTTCTTCATTCGATTCTGTTCTCACCGCGGCGTATACACGATAGTCAGGATCCTAATATCCCATCGGTCTGCGACTAGATGGGGACAAAATGCTTCTCTTCTTCTACTTGCAGTGTTTCGGAACGTGAATGCGCTTCTGCTCTTGCTCTTCTGTACCCGTGAGTTATTTGCACTCTGTCATTATGCTTGAGTCACTGGACAACTGTGACGTCATAGAAGGGAAGCGGGTCTTCGAAGAGGCGGCGTGAAGTGGCGACCCTGGTGTAGTTACGGGGGATTGAATGGGCGAGGATGAACTGTCGGTGATAGCCAGTGATAGTTAATCGGTGGAAGTAGAAATTCCGTTCGTCGTTATGACTTTGAACGCTTGCTCCTAGATGTATGCTTCAACTCCTTTTGACTTCGTTTGGGGCTTAGAGGGGACATACAATGAGCACGAAATGAACGTGGGATCGTAGCCAGCGGTTGAGGGTAGGCGAAAGGCAGGGGGTCTAGAAGTCACTTTCTAAACCATGGGTCGGTCTACCACAATCACGTGCTAAGTTTGAAATCGATAAGTGATATCAGAGGTGCATTCTTTGTGTCGAAGTCGGGGAAGTGAAGTGGAATGTAAGGGTGGGGGTCTTACGATGCCCCGATATTGTAAGACGAGTGTTGAAAGAAGTCCTCTTCTGCCTAGAAATTATATGGCTATCAGGGGCTTTGTTGAGGATGGAGTTCCCACTCCTATTTGGCCGGCCTTTGAGCTCTGAAAGAAAGTCCTGCACAGCTAATAGTGAAGTATGTATGATCTAGAAGCTTGGTCAGCATAACGTTTGCGTTGTGGTCATAAGATTTTCCCTTTCTCAGCTGATTTTACCTCCATTGGGGGAATTGGCACGTTGAGCTATTTTTGTCACTTCTCTGCCTCCTTTCCGCATGAGATGTCTTTGAATTGATTCTGGAACATCTCCCGAGACTTCTGGACGTTCTTGGTAGGGCTTGGTGCATTTTCACCTTTTTCTTGGTTGGGTTTCGCGGACTTACCGCCGTAATCCCCTGAGGAGCGAATCATGGCGAGCTGTATTCTGTCAGATTTCGTCGAACCCTTCTAAGCTGTTGTGATGTCCCTAAAACGCAGATCCGACAGCCTGAAGTGATTAAAGAGGTAAAAATCGCCCGGAGGGTGCCTCAGAAGGGACTGTCTTACCACAACCAGCCAATTCTACGATGCCTTTTCGTAGGGGGAGATTGATATAGATATATAGAATCAAGGAGATGATGATTGAATACTGCAGCTTGCAGCGTGGTTCCGTGCTCCCGAAGTGACGTTGAAAAGGTGATCAGTGACGTGACCTCAAAAAAGATTGAAACACCACGGTTCTGTGCAAAGCCAATTTTTTTTGTGGGAAGTAGGTGGACAGTGGAACGGCGTGATGGAGGGGAAGATGAATACGCTAACTGTTTACTGAATTCACTGGTCTGGAGTCTACATCGCCACTGGGCGGTACTCAGCGTGTTGGCCAGTGCGTGCGCATCCCAGCATTCTTAGTTAGGATCGAGATGAAGGATCGAACACCATGGAGATTGCTTAGTGGATAATGGAAGACAGAAATAGATGAGAGACGGGGACTTTAGAAGAACACACTGAGAATGATCCGTAACTTGAAGCCTGAAAGGGCCTAATAAGGGCACGCTTCGTGTCGATAATATAACAGAGTGTGTGTGTATTCGATAAAATCTCTGCAGCAAGGCTCGCCATAATGGTGCTATAAGCTTCTCAATGCCCTAGGCTTTCAAGGAGCGGCTTCAACACAAATTGACCCCTGAATTGCATCACTTTCGTGACCTCTTTTCTCCAAGTGTCTGTTCCGACCAAAGCTCGGTTCGTACCGTATCCAGTCCAATGCAGTTTATTTCTCTCTCTCCCCTTGTACACAGTCCAGCTGTAAGCTCGCTCTTCAGGCTACAGTCGACGTAGCTTCCCCTGAGCCGAATCAAACTCCAAGAGCCGGGATTGGCTTGCTACACCTGCACTTATCTCCTCTTCATAATGTTCACTGCATCTAGCTTTCGTAGAAGGTGACTATATTCAATTGCCGGGAGAGGAAAACAGAACCACGCATCGTAGGTAGTTGAGTGTTTTTAGGAGACTCAGAGCCATATGAGATTCCCAAGCCCTGTGAATAGAGTACAATGATAAGAACTAGAGAAGGAGATAGTGGCATTCATGCTCTTGGTAGTGATTCAGGGGCCCAGAGGTCCCGCGATGTCGGTTGCAGTTCACTAGTCTGAAAACTCGGCAAGATAAGGACCAGCGAAAGAGCTTTGACGATTGGCGCTTCTCCCTAACACCAACTATTCATCGTATACGTATATGCTGAGAAATGCATACCTTTATTCATGAGATGCTTTTTAAAACATCTGATGCATAACATTGAAGTAAATCAGACCACAATATCTTCATCCCCACTTCACCAGACCTAAATGGAGGGGAAGACTTTCGCCCAAGACGAAAGTATTACAGTCAATCTGTCGCTTATTGAGCTCAGCAAATGAGACATCAAGAGGGCCAATGGAAACGGCACGATTTGAGCCCATCTTTCATAGGGGAGACAGTTCGAAAGTCACTTCCCTAAGATCCTTAATCCTGGAGATGGGGCCATGGCATGTTTTAAGCGTGTGGGCCCCTGAAAGTCTGTCTAGGAATTTAGGGAAACCAGAGTCTTTAACATGGCGCGGGAGGCGCAGGTGTGGGCCCCTAGCTGACGGCGTTTGTCGAATGTATAGCGAGATATATGAGGGTGTATGCATTCAGGACATCTCCTCGGTAGAGAGAAATAGGGTCGATTTGATCTGTTGAGTATGTTGCTTGTGGCAAGGTTGTTCAGGGGAAGGTTCTTAGAAGGGGCGTTTGGCGGGGCGTTTGGAGAGGAGTACGCCCGTCGTGATTTCTGAATGGAAGAACACCTTTTTGTAAGCCTTGCTAACCTTTACCTGTTCTTTTAGGAGCCATAAACTTGCTACAAATGGCCTTCGCGATATATCATACCTATCTCGACACTCGTTGAGTGCTCGACCTCATCCTCCAGCGTTCCACCGCGCAGCATCACGAGGGGTGATCTGCACCAAAAGGAAGGGGTCTCTCTCCTCGCTTGGACTTCCATTCCTAGGGCCAGAGAATTTAATATAATATGGCTCCGAATTTCGTAAAGAGCATGAACGAGCTAGGCGTGGATGGTACAGACGTAGGCGAGCTGAGCCAATCGGCGATATGGCTGTCCTCAGGAAGAAAACGGATAGAGACGACAGGAAAGCATGCTCATATCGCTGCCTCCCTTCAGCGGGACTTCGGAAGTCATAAGATTCCATGGGCTCCGTCAATCAACAACATATAATGTGGATAACCTGACGTAGGTGGAGGAGCGCATTTACGAGTAGTCGTTGCTCGGAGGCATGCATGGGAAAATACGAGGTTCTCTGCCGGTGGAGCAGCGGCCATTTGTACATTCTCTCTGCATCGGTAGCATACCCGCTTCTCCGGACCCCGTATCCGTCTGAAGTTGTGAAGACCGGTTGTAGAGGGTGTGTCACCTTTGCTGAAAATTCCCATTCGCTAGGCATCGGAGCACTGGAGCTCCGGACCGGGCAGTGTTGCTGCTGATCTCGACATAGCTTCGATCCAAAAAACTTAGGCTCGGCGTCTTGGCCAAGTCTCCTGGATTCTTGGTTAGCGCTTGTTGCATTACAAGTGAATTGAGGAACCGAGAAACCCGCATGCGTAGTTCGATATCCGGCTCGGATTCACTGTAATATTGGCTTACCCACTTCCAAATGGTACTAATGAAGGACAAAATCCAGCTGCCCTTTTTTTTTCATCCTTTTCTTCGTCCGTTTCTTCGTCCGAATTGTTCCCAGTAACCAGAATAAGACAGGACTCATTTGAGTGGCGAGAAATACGCAATTCGGTAGATTTTCTCTATACGTGTTCTTAGCTGTGGTAGACGTATTGCTCCTCTCATGCCATCTCTTCCTCTTGTCCTAAAGCCGTCACTTTTTCGCATCTTCTTTCTGTTCCCCCTTTTTCTTCGTCATAAAAACCTCGGGTTTTCAGCCAACCTTCACAGACTGTGGTCATTAGCATCCAAGTTTTCACATGGGATATAAGATTTAGTCGATGAATTGACTCTCTCTGAGTGTAATTTCGATCGAATTGGAAGACTGCCGAGTCGCGATACAAACGTCAGTTCGAGAGAGCTTGCAATCCATTACACCCGACCATATCTTGTCGCGACTCTCCTGAAGATCTCGGCTTTCCGCCTGATGGGCTCCGGCATAGTCATCTGAATTTGACCTACGAATATGCCTGGCTCAGCATCATAGAAGTCCGGAAAGGTATAAGCGAATCGTAGGGTAACTCTGTTGACGTAGAGGTGATTGCGAGATTTTCAAGCTCCCATTTCTGAGCCTCGAGAATCCTAACTTTGTTAGCTTCTTTGCCAGAAGAGGACGGATTATCGTCGATGTGCGATATCCTACTAGCATTGGCAAAGTGAAGCCTGTTACGTGATTGCTTCACCACCAACAGACGACAAGATGCGACTGGAGGTCTCCCGCCTGGTGTCATTGGATGCCGCGTTCAAGGCTTTGCTAGAATGGAAGGCACTTGAATCGAAAGAAATACGCTTGGCAGGCCTGCGACAGGCGAGTGGACCGGCGGTCGACCTGGGAAAGTTCTTTGCCTGTGCAGCTTAGGCAATGTCGTTGGAACTATCCCTCCGTCATCCCGGCGTGCTCTGCGGTTAGCATGCCCAGAAGGAAATTCTCGAGCATATGAACATACCAAACTGTGGGAAAGCTATGTCATGCGCCTGCGCTCGAGGGCGGAATCTTGTGATGGTACATATTCAGGGGCTGAAAAAAAAAGGAGTATGAATATGAATAAAGTCGGGACCCCTTTGCAACCGACATCAGAACTACTCTTTAATGCAATTGCTATCATGTTGAAGCTGAAGGGTAGTGGTGTGGATGAGCTGGTGGTATCTCGGTGTTTGTGGAAGGTCTGAGACAGTGGAGACGAGAAGCGTCTGGCGACAAGTCTCTAAGCATACGCTAACAAGGAAAGAGGAATGTTTGAGGATCTCTTGAGGAGATGAGAATACGTTGACGGAAAAGAGAGCATCGGACAGTGGCACTGGGTGGAAAGCTATTCCGACATTTTACGATCGCAGTCGCCACAACCAGGACATTGCTGGAAATCTTGGGTCTAGGATAACCGCACGTTAAAGAGGTCAGACCATAACTTTTTCAGGGAGTTCACCGGCCGAATGTGTGTAAACAACGAGAACAGAGTCGCCGCAGACGCCGAAAGTTGGCGCAGAATTCTCGACGCGGCACCAGAAGTAAAACGAGAGCGACGCGCGCATTATTACTCCATCGGAAGGTCTAGAAACTCGAGCAAAGGCCGAACCATCTGATAGGAGTCCTGGGATACCTGTTGTTGGCAAGTCATATAAATGGGAGATGCAATCTGGATCGCGACAGCTCAGCCTCCACGACGTTGGCCAGGACATGGTATGTTGCCGCGTCGCGTTCGTTCCACGAAAACGGGCACGGTTGAGGACTCACCTGAAAGCCATTAGGGTCTCTACGATCCTGTTCCGGTAAGGGCTTCTATCGCGACGAGAAGAGGGCGGAGCGCGAAGCTAACACCTCCGTCGACCACGTCCTCTATGTCCTACGGCCCGCGCTCGCGGCGCGTTTTAGCAATCTAGCGCACGCGTTCCTTTAGGAAGTTTAGAACTCAGCGGGCGACAGCAGATTCACTATGCTAAAATGAGCAACGTTGCTGAGTGTATCCTGCATGTTTACGGCGCAGAGGCGTGTCGCGGGCGTGTGGAAGGAGTAGGGCACGGACCAACTAAAGAATAATCAACAGCGAACACATCACTCTTTTCTCCACCATCTTCGATCCTTGGACGGAACATGTCTCTAAGCTGATAAGGAGGCCTCGAGGGCCCTCTGCGACCCAGGGTTTTGATCAATGTCCCCATAATGACCGCCTGAGATACTTAACTATATCAACTCTCTCCAATGAGACAGCATATAACAATACCGTAGTTTTTCTCCCTTGATGGAAAGCGCTTCAAGCTAATGAGCCAGAAAGATTTTCCCTTTCAAAGAGTCGCTGGTGATCAAGTCCCTCCCTGCTCCTCTTTGCTGGCACAGTTGCATTGGAGACGAAACAGTGGCCTGCGCAGCTTTTGAAGCTGCTCGTGCCGCCTGCTAGTGGAATGGGGCACCTGCTGATTAGTTTATTGGCGTTACTCTCTTAGACAAATATCTACATCAACGGCACATACGCCGATTGTCGACTTCACTGCGTTAGTGTATGTAAGGCTGCGGCTTAAGCGTGGAGTGGGATACAGGGTCTTCCCCCAATTTTCAGCCAATAGAGAGGGCTGTGATATGGAGAACCGAGATAAATCAGTGAGAGGAGGCAATGTCGTTGGCTAGAAGGTAGTACGGCAACATCGCGCGAACCTTACGTCTAGTCCACCGAGGCGGAAGGTCACATACCTGACGTTAGTAAAATTGCGATCTCAGCGTTTGTACAGTAGCCGTGCCTGTGCTTCATTAAGCAAGCAATCTGACTCGGGGATGGCACTGTAGGCCCGATGACTCTATACTATATTGTTGTTGCCGCCGGTTTGCCTCATGTCAGACGGCTTTGAATTGTTATATCAAGCGATGCTGAGACTGCAGCAGCATCAACAACAGCTTGTGGACTGCAACATGCAAGATGACCTGCTCATAAGTATGAGAAGCTTTGGTAAAGGAGATGACCCCCCCCCCCCCCCCCCCCCCCCCCCCCTCCACCCCCCCAATCGCCAATTGGCAAGTATGGGATGTTAGATCTATAAGATGTGTATATTCTCGTTTCAACGCCATTCTGACTCTGAATGTACCAAATTCCGTTCTGCGACAATCTTTGATTATCTTGCAGATCTGTGGGAAGGCCCTGAATGTTTCTGAGATATTGCTATACCAAATCCTCAAGTGCACCCTGGCTTCGGGAATGAACTTTGTCACTTCAACAGTTCAAAGGATTGGGTGGTACGATACGTGTCCACTGATAAGAACTGGTAGTAAATTATCTACTTGTCAAGCATAGATGTAGTAATAATCTCCCTGACCACCTTGGGACAGAAGGGGATTCCTCATCCCTCCAATGTTTCTCTGTAGAGTTCTAGTCTTCTGCTTATTCTTCCGAAACTGGAAGATCCTAAGTTGTACTATGAATATGATAGAACTAAGTGTCGGTGTTGGAAACTGTCTGCTCCTGAACTTTAAAGTATGAATCGTTGGGACTGCACAAGTATGGCGTTTGCCCTAACGTGATTGGCTAACGAAAATCGCTTCTATTCACCCACGACCTGTGAAGCCACCGACCAAGCTACGTCCCGGACGCGGAATTTGCAGAGAACACCTCCACACCACACGCTGTCGAACACAACGCATCGACACCCCAGTTTTGACCCACACTCCACAGCTGAACATGGAAAACGAAACAGGAGAGGACTCCCGGTCGTTAGAACGGTCGGGTGCAGAGCAGGTTAGTCGCTCTATCCCTTTCATGCACGACGAAGACCTCTTTGGACCACGGGAATGTTTACTTTAATCAATAGATCCATCCTCCGCCGCCCCTTTCCCCCACGCTCGAGGAGAATGTTCGTAGGCTGGCTTCAAGCTACGAGGAGCCGAGCACCTTCACTGGTGTTGACAATTCGAGCAACGCCCGCGGCGGCAATATGTACACCCAGCGTCTCCATTCCACCGCATCCATGCCCGTAAATTACTCCAACACGCCATTTCAAGACAGAAACGGCCGTCTGAGGCACCTTGCTACGGCTGCCGTAGCATCTCCTGCTATGGCGTATCAACAATCGTACTATCCCTCAAATGATGATGCAGCGAGATACAGGACTCGCACCGTTGGTGAAGGAGAGGATACGGAGGACGACACTCTTCCGGGATGGCTAAGCTCTCGTCCTTCGCAAAGCTTCCCACGCTCATCAGGAACGCATTCACAAATGACGGAGGGATACACTGGCGCCCCGGGACAAACATTCCAACAACAAGCTCAGACACAGCATCGCGGTGGGACCCCGAGTACATCACCCTTTGCAACTCCCCACCAACAAACCCACATGGGAAGGTCCACCATTCCGCATCGGGGACAAGGAGCTAGCGTAGAGCGGCGGTCTTCAGGACCAACCCACCTCATGACAGCCTATCCAGTCGCTGGTGAAGACAGAATGGCGCCCGAACCACGCCTAGCCCACCGAGCGGCCAATTTTGCCTCACAGGGGGAGGATCCGTTCCAAGATTCTGACTTGGAGCTGATGATAGGAGCGAAAGAGTATTGGGCTTACTGGCCTCGCACCTACTATCTCCCGCTGCCTACTATCAACCTGTCTGCTGGTAATACTCTTCGGTTTTATCTTCCTGGAAGCTCCACTGATCAGCGAGCGCGGTTCAGGTCGAGCCAACCAACTGTCTTGAATCCGTCGGCTCTTGCACAACCTCAGCCAAATCTCCAACCTTTCGGCACTCTCCCGGCCCAAGGTCCCCCTATTGATCCGCAACTCCTCGCGTACGAAGCAGCTGGACCAGCAGAAACGGACAGTGAGCGTCTTCCAGAAGGTGGTGATGAAACGGGCGAGGCTTCAGGTTAGGGTTCGATAGGCACGTCAACTGAAGACATGCTTGAATTTCCTCCTTTTCCTCTTTTTACCGCCAATAAGTTGGTAGCTGGTGTAGTATAGTCTAATAAGCGAGGTCACCTTCTCAGCATAACGATACTTCGATAATATTGAATGAAAACTCCTTTTATGTTGGAATATGATTGCCAGTTTGCGATGTAGTTTGTGCCATCAAGCCTGCTCTCATGCAGAACTAACAAACCAAAACCTCGAACTGAGCCCTTGGCTGCCGAATATCTAGATCATGGGCCACTGCGCCTACCTCGGCGTTCTTGACTCAATCAGCTGTTAGCAAGCTACATAAAAACTTAAAGACGAAACAATTTGAATAACTGTAGCGATGGTCTAGTTTTCGGCAGATCGTTAGTCCGAGCGTCATGGACCCAAATCGTTATAGTCATAGAGACCTCCCTCTGCCAAAGCGCAACTCCGCACTCTCGCCTTGTCAACACAACCCTACTTACCGACGTCCTGTGGTCAACGAATTTAACCCTTCTTCTACTTCCAGCATTGGAATCCCACTCAGCTACCATGCATGGTGTTTATAGAACCCACCAGTGCCTGGTTCTCCTCACAGATTCCAGTGGCAATCATGTCTCTTCCAAAAAGGTATGCCATACCCTCGTATCTTTCTCATGATTTGGTTGTTTTAGTGAAACGTTGGTCGGCTATCTGCGGTTGGCAAAAGCATTAACCTTACATCAACATAGGGTTACATGAAAGCATGGCATCCACTTCGCCAAGACCCAGTCTCCGACCATCCGGAGCCAATTTCAGGTCATGTTCGACAGGCCAAGAGAGTCTGCGTCCCAGAAGCAAAGAAAGGACAGCCGACACACAGTGATCCCTACAACTACACTAGCCAGGACGATTGGTTTCCCTTCAATCCGGCGGAACACACGCATATGGTCAATGACGTCAACATGGCACAAGACATGTTCAGCGATCGCGCGCTGACTTCCGCCAGCTGGACGACTGTTGGAGACGACGCAGAAGGAAGGTCCAATGAGGTTGGTAGAATGGAGGATAATGAAGTGGAGGATAATGGCATGCATGAGGATGACGCGGAGAAAGACTACCCACCAAGGCCCTTGAGCCGTCCATATTCTGCCCCACAAGACCCTCTCGTTCCAACACCAGCAGCGAAACCTCGGCGCCGTGAGAATCGAAGTGGAATAACTGCATCTTCACGCCAAGAGTCGCAACGTATCGTCAACCCACTGCGAAAGGTCCAGAGCAGCGCGGCTAGGGTTCGAAAAAGCGCATATCTCAATAAGACTTCGACGACACCTAAGTCTAGGCTAAGTCTAGGTTGTCGGATCACGTAGGGCTTGCTCGCAACCCTACCGCACCTAGTGGAAGAGGCCCAACACCTCCCCTCGGACAGCTCGGACTACTTCGAAGGCGAGTTGTTGGCGAAATACAAGATGGTGGCCATACAATGAACCAGAACCTATCTCCTAGCCCCATCGCCTCCTCCTATCATTATCATACCTACTCGGAGTCGAAATGGGCCAAGGTCGACGTTTTGCGTGACTGCTTCTATCTACCGACAAAGTTCGACCCAATCGGCGACGACCAGATCTGGCACTACAGCGCTCCAAACTCTACTAAGCGTGAGGCTCGGTGGACAACTTCTCCTCTTATCGGCACGGACGCGTCCGTGACGACATACGACGACCTAGAGACAGAACTACTTTCCATCTCTTAAGAAATGACGTAGGAAGGGTCATAAGTTTGGGTACTGGAAATCTCACTGCTCAGCTCCATTCTTGTTCGCTCGATACCACTGTTCGGGGTACCCCAGCCAGCATATTTTCGGTCCGTTAAACGGTAGCCCAATTTCCACTGCGTCGAGTTCTACAGATCCTTTGTTTCGATTGTTCCATCTTCATTGTGTTGTCACTTTGTAGCCCATGCGCTGCCAGTGCCTACCTCTTTTTGTAGAAGATATTCCAAAAATGATACTTCCTCTTGTATGAGCAGAACATGAGCTGCAGCGTCACGTTCTAACTATCTAAGACTTAGGCCTGATTCCTGGAGCACTGCTGAATTCTTGATACTTTGATGCTGCCTCTGCTCTATGCGATTGTGTCGATTAGAGGCTCATACCGACGGTACGGTGGTATGGCAATAGAGGGATTCGACCCCTTTGTGGTTGCGCTCGCCTGGCCTCGACTACTGAGAGACAAAATGGAAGCAGTTTGAGTCCCAATATACGATGTGGCAGCCTTCTCAAGCCCTTCGAGGTTGCTCTTGACCATGCTCTTGACCAGGCGGGGCGGAAGGAGTTTCGGCAGCTTGGACGATTTTCATTATTCCGAAGACTTCTTGGGACGATATATAAGTTCCAATAAAGTACTAATAAGGACTTGAGTATATATTCGTTGGGTTTGGCTCAGTTTTGCGCCGTGTCGGAGGCCGCGGCTCTCTGGGGAGACGCGCGCTTGAGAAGCATTGAAGTGATGGCCTGGTGCGGCGTGGTGACCTGCTTTCATCGAAATACTACGAAGAAAGATACATATACGATCCTAACTCCTAGCTGTTCGGGTTATCTAAGTGTAGGGCGATGTATTGGATGGGGGAGATACTAGCTGTAGTGGCGAAAGCAGTTTGCTGTTGGAGAGCGTTCTTGTGGTCAGCGCCGCCTCGCCGTCCACCCCAGCCTCAGTTATGCCCTATCACTCAGGATCGAGATTTCTTATGACGTGAACGTACATGAACAGTCAATGTGGCATAGATTACCTTCCGGGAGGTAGTGAAAAAACCTGGAGAGTGGTACAAGGACAAAAATGGGCCCGAGAGTTGATGGTCACATGATGTCAGTTTTATCTGCGCCAAAAGACGCTCCGACTCGGCTCACATGATGAAGTTCTGATGACGCGTGGAACAACATCCACTCATAATTGTGGAGCTGTAAGCCTTACACCACAACGGTCTGTTTTCCCCGCCATCGACATCGCCTCGTATTGTGCAGCAGGCGGTAGCACCTCCCATACCATTTCTCATCCATTGCACCAAGCCCTCCTAGCAAGTAAGCCTACCCCACATCCTTCGTTTAATGAGGCCGAATTATCCCGCATTCCGGCAAAGGCTCGTGAAGCTCGGCCACCCTCAACCCTTCACATAGTGCTCGTCCACTGACTAACCTTCCGAGATAGATGGACCATCCAGATATACCGTACGACATGTGGGGCTTTGGACATTCGACCGGTTGGCTTCAGCCTCAGCCCGAGATCAACGCTTCTGGTAGAAACCTCGGTGCCACCAATATTCTCGGCCGCGATTATGTCCTCCAGGCCTTGCTCGAGCGAAAAGGATACATTCAGCCTTCTCCGAGCTATGTTAGGCCTTCCATACCGTACAACAATCTGTCTCGCCAACCATGTGAGGTATGTTCTCATCCTACCTTAGAAATATACTTCTACACTACAAGCGCATATAAACTGACATGAAGACGTCGTAGAACAGCCGTGGCCACGACAGCGGAAACTTCGATAGTGACGACTCGTTCGGCAATGCGCGCCATGATTCTTTTGGTTTCAATTTTCTACATGTTCAAGGAAACCCCATCCGTACTGGAGAATACGAGGAGGATCTTGGTGTTGCGATGGTTGGAAGCAATTCCTTCCAAGGTCAAGAACAAGGAGTACGTGCTAATATAGGGATGAGGGGGGCGCTTAATCGCTATGAGAACACCTTCTAATCCGAATCTTTTTAGAACATCCAGGATACACTACGAGTCGATGACAGAGTTAAAGATAACGAGTGGGATTCTGAGTCCGAATCTGAGTACACGGGACCGCCCTGTGACTCGACTGGTACAAAGGATGGCAAGAATCCACTCTTCAAGGGGCTCGTAGCGAACAAGCATGGTCTGTTCTTCTCATCGGCAGAGCAGTGCACACAACTCTTCAAGAACAAACCTCTTTGGCGACCAAAAGACGAACTGCTACCGGACACCGAGGACGACCGGGCACCCTACGTGATATGTCTTCGTGATGCGATCATGCATCTGGATAAACAATTGGACCAGGCCGACGATAGTGCTCCAGATCAAGCGGGTGAAGATGCCTCGTTGACGCGCCCCGGTGAAAGCTTCCCAGGAGATGTTAGCAATAGTTCTTTCACGCAGACGGTTCAAGTTCCCTCGGCACAGTTCCCCCCGACCGAGGTCATCAAAGGCAAGGTGGGCAAACAAAAGGGCGGCAGGTCAATGGGGTCTGCAAAGGGAGGCCCTGTGGGCGGTACGGACCGTTGGGAAGAGAACGCGACATACTACGAAGCCTTCGCCATTGAAGGAGCAGCTCAAATGTTGTTAGTAAGTATGGTTGACCTCTTCCTAACGAGTATAATATTGAACAAAACCTTAGGCCAAGGTCATTGATCTCCATAAGAATGGATGGACACGTGCGAATCTCGAGCCTAAGCAGCTTGGCATGAAGAATTTGTACGAACCAAAGTTGAGGTTCAAGGCGAGGATCGATGCGATTGAAGAAGTTCTTATGGTAAGACTTCTCCTATATACTTGTTCTGTTCGTATTAACGAAAAGTTTAGCATAATAAATCTATGTGCAAAAATCTACTCGATGGTAACGACCTAATGATCGACAAGTTGGTTGGGGGACCTCACAAGTACTCTAGCGTAAGTTTTATATACTGGACATTTATTCGTCCACTGACGTATCCTAGCGCTCCAATGGCCTTAAGACCCTGAATGCGGGCCGACAGGCTCACTTGGAAAGAGGCCGCGAAGCAAAAGCTCAATCAATTGCTGCTGAAGAGGCACCCCAGCAGCAGGAAGGTACAACAGGTCGGAACAAACCAAAGCGAAAGGCCATAGCGATGTCAGCAGAGGAAGAGGAGAGACCTGGAGGACGAGTCAATCAAAGTGCAAGAGACAACCGCCCCACGAAGAAACCACGACTCGCAAAGACGACGGAAAAGAGGTCAGTGGATGTTGGACGTTCACTCCTGTCGGCAAGCCCCAGCCGGGTTAAATCCCCAACGACAACAGCCTTTAGGCGCAGCACAACTGCCGCAGTTCAGAAGAAGAAGGACCACACCTTCCCGTCTAATCATAGTCCCACGATGACCACCCCGGCAACATCCACGACCGTTAGTCGCTCCGTTCGGTCCAGCAAGGGTAGAGAAGAGGCCGAAAAGTAGGGCAGTTAGGTGTTGGAGTTCACTTTCACATCGTTACTAGAAATGGCGGGGTTTGGCTCGAGTATGGGTACTTGCAGGCTCGCTGTTTGGCTTACGTGCTGGATTGTCCCGATCAGACCGGCTTTTGTGACAGCCAAAGTGATAGAATTATAGCTTCAGTCAGGCATGAAAAAGGTAGAGACCTGCTACTGCAAGGATTATGATACTATAGAGAGCATTTATGTGGTCGGAAGTCGCGTGAAAGATGCGATGTGTGTGACTAGGCATTTGGCAAACGAGAATGCAAGAGCTTGTGTACTTTGAGTAAAGAAGGTAACAATCAGCTGGCAAATATCGCTTTTTGTACTACACTTATGTCTACATGTACCGCTTCTCCACTCTCAACCCAATATCAACACGCGATATATCCTTTTGTTGGGACAACTCTCCTCCAGTTTCTTTAATAGATGGAATCTAATCTCCTTTTAACACCACTTTTAGTTTAAAAATGAACATCATATTTCTCTGTACTTGCAAAAACAGTTTACAATGTTACACCTTGCTAAGCTTCGATTTGGTGTAGTTCAACTTGGAGTAATACAAGTACGGACTGGACAGGTCAGTTCTCGGTGTATTTTTCCTAGGCGGTTAAAAGGGGACGAAGAGCATGAAGTTAGGAGGGCATGCACACGGTATGGTGTCATTTTTATGATCTTAGTTGGGTTTACCTGAAAACGAGCTTGGTATAGGGTCTCTTGTACCGACATTCTCGTCAAGAGTAGGTAAAGGCGAGCGTGACGTCCTGTAGATACTCATTTATAGGGCTGGCACGTATTTGGATTGGGAGTGGATGGTCGGAGCCTACATAGAAAACCGCAATGAAAATCCTTTGGTGAGAGGAAGTGGGATTTCTGTCTCTTCTTGGATCTTCGGGTCTATACTCACTGTCTTAGTCTATCGAAGCCAGACGGAGTCTTTTTGCATCTGACAGAATTTCAGCCGCGGGCTGGATCTATCACTAGTCACATTGTTAGATCCAAGTATCAGAATGACTGATGACATTAAGTATGCCAAAATCATCTTACGGTGATAATCTTCATAGCACTAGAGCGATGTGGGTCGATTTAAGGTTACGTGGTGGTCGCGCACGGTCCCTCGGAAGATCTACAGGGTCCACGCTAGTAGTTTTTGAGAACATCTATCTAATTTAGAGTCGACGTAAATCTTGATCACGGCTAGCTGCACTACTGAGCGCCCTTGCAATCAGTATCTCCTCCCACTTCTGGACTCAATTACTCAAACTTAAAGCGCCTGGACTTTTGCTAGTCATTCTCTCTCGGTAGACCCGATTTCTCATTCGTGGTCAGTCAAACTCCCGTCGTGCCTGTCTTGTTGTGAAGGTCTTCCAATTTGGGGACCCACCCACCAACTGTGAACGGGAAGAAGGCAAATCAAACTGTGCGATTCTACTGCTAACAAACCATGCTACGTACAGATAGCGGAAGAATGTTTGACTTCTTCGATTACGAGCTCGACGAAGGGCTCGCCCCTCAACCTGGAGCTGGCGGCGCCACTTTCGATGGCTTTCTCGCTCCTACCACCCAACAACGTTCGACGGCGCAGGGAGACGCACGATCAATGTTTGACGACCCCGAGTGTCGCTCCTCGCAGGCTGCTGATCAGCTCGGCCTTCCTCGCTCAGTCGGATACGAATACGGACAGCATGTAAGACGTACCTCATTCCTTGTTGGTATATGAGCGGTTTTAACAAAGACATAGAGCCTCGGAGACTATGACCTGGACGACGAATATGATCCCGATCACGACTACGAGGCTAGTTCTCCCAAGAAGCCCAAGCGCGCGAAGCGCCAAGGGCCTCCTGCAAAGACCAATGATCTCTTCAGCAACATGGTCAAAGATGAAGACGGCCTATACTTTGGTTCGGCGGAGGACGTGCTAGACGTGTTCATGAGCGACCCCCTGTGGAAACCGGGTCACGAAGAGCTGCCCTATGGAGATGAACGACGTCCGTATGTAATCCGAATCAGAAATGCGCTTCTGCATCTGCCAGCCAGTGAAAGCATGACGGCCACTATTTTAGACAATGCTACCGGCAATCCCATCAGCAAATCCCCACATAATGCCGTAGGCAAGGCCATGACTACATCGAAGGTCCCGAAGGAGACGCGCGGGCGAGGCGGTGGACTGGCTCGCTGGAAGGGTGGCTATTATCAGCCACAGGCAATCGAAGCTGCCGCGCACCTCCTAATCGTGAGTAACAATCTCATTTAAGTCAGCAACTGGCGACTGACAAACAAGTAGGACCGCGTCGTCAGCATCCACGAATTCGGCTGGATGCGTCCCAACTTAGACCCGAAACAATTGGATATGGAGACGCTCTATCAGCCGGAGCTCAGCTTCGATGAGCGGATTAACAGTATTGAGAGGGTGCTCAAGGTAAATCCATCCTTATCCTAATACACAATGGTGCTAAGAAAGACTACAGTCAAAGAAGCATACCTGCAAATGGGTCCTGGACAACGACGACCTGATGTTGGACAAGCTGGCTGGAGGCCCAGGAAAATACGAGGAGGCGAGTGCTGCTCTTCGTTTTACTAATCTCATTGGCGAAGTAACTGACAGGTTTCAGCGCTCAAATACAAACAAACAACTCAACGACCTGAGACAGATCGTGATGAAAGCTGGGCGCGAAGAGGCCAGCAAGTCTGAAGATAAGAAAAAGGCACAGCCTGCCGCCAAGTCCAAGCGCAAGGCGAACCAGATTGCTAGAGCGGATGAGGATGGAAGTGGTACGGAATCAGGGCCGTCTGCACCTAAGCAGCGCAAGATTAGAGCGTTGTCATCTCGCAAGAATGGTACCAAAGAGTCTGGCGAGGATGTCCTTAGTGCTACAGACACTCAGGCTCACCGGGGCAGTGTCTACAGCGCGGCAGGTGGCAATTTGCTACGCCAGGGCTCGCTGCCGACCTACAACAACAACGTCACTCCAGCGATTGACCCCAGCAATCTCCGTCGTTCAGGACGTTTCGGCAGATTGAATAAGAACGGTGAGCAGTAGAAGCGGAGCGCGGCTGCCATGGAGTAATGGTGGAGCGGATTTCTGGAAGTTAATGGTTTAGCTGTGGGTGCTTGAAGGATGGTATTCATTCCACATTCCTTGATGTTTTCGACCAATTCGACAACGGTAATGGCCATTCAATAGTTCATAGATGGTAAATCAAACACAGAACCCATGTTTCCTAAAAACAGCCTTCGATACTTGCACGAGACGAACTTCGATCATCTGCACATTATGGTTCTCATGAGACACAAAATCACCTATATACCCAAGTTCCACAGTTCATCTTAAGTATCACAGGCAAATATGTAGCAAATGCTCATCAGAGTCACCCGCACACGACATGGTCACTGGATACAAATCTGCCGTGCAGTTTGCGAAGTAAATCAAGCATAAATCCGTCCTGCTTCCACAACGCTTGTCCTTCAGTATTTCGTGAACTTAATCACGCCCGGACTTATATAGATCTAGAGTACTATTAAAGGTATATAGCCCTCCTACGCTAAATTTGCCATCCCTAGCAGTAATACTGCCTTCCAGCATATTAATCTTAATATTTATACGCCATAATAGCGAAAATCTCCCTCTAAAGGCGATGGGATGATTACGCAGACATGCTCTATCCAAAGGAAGAAGAAAAGAAACCGACCAGCGCGTTCTGAGCACTTTTTACGGGGGCAATGAGCTAAATGACGTCGATAAAGTTATCAGCTACTATGTATTAATTAGCATGGTGGATCATTATCGTGGTGAGCTCATCTTGTGGGAAGATGCTCGATGTGATGATACCAAGGCCTTCCCTCGCTCCGGTCACGTGGCGTCACATGAATTATTGGCCGGTAGTGATCGGCTCGCCGCTCGGCGGCCAATCGGTAAGATCGACAGCGAGGCATCTCCACTTCTAGCTCGACACCTCGCCGCGGCGTTAGTTCACCATCCACCTGCCTCGCAGAGCGCCCTCGTTCCCTGTCAACTCAGACAATTTGACCCGCAAGCGTGCCCTCTCCTAATCTCTTCGTAAGTGTCTCTCGCTTTGGCATTTGTTATGAGTTGGAATCCACTCGCGAGTCCTCGATCAGCGCGCCACTACCCTCCAGTATGCTCCAACTTGATAACACTGGGATTGCCTCAGCTTTCATGGTAGGCTGACACTTAGACTATAGAAGCGCTATAGTATGGACGGCCGTGAGAGCGGGCCTCCAGGGAAGCAGCCCTCTGATGGCACCCCGCCGCGTCCTGGGATGTATCCACAAGGAGGTATAGGAGGTTTGGACGAGTTTGATGACAGCCACGTCCCTTACTTCACGAATACTCTCGGGCTGGATATCAACGTGAGTTTCCCCAATGTATCTCCCGAACATTTCTGACTTCTATGCAGGCTGCCCAAACACCGGGTCCGCCCATGACTCCACAACAGCATGCACCCCACGGCACTCTCGGTGATCGCGACCGGACCGCCGAAGGTAGCAATATGTTCAACGATGACTACATCGCCAACGAACAAGTCCATAACACCCAAGACTACGCGAACCCGAGCCCGCCCCGTGGAGGTTATGGCTATGGATACACTACGGAGACCTTAACACGCACACATCGCTCCACGCTCATGACGGTAAGTGCAGTGACCGAAGTTCTGTTCTTTTTCATCATAAGAGTATCCTTCTAATAATGTTCGTGTATAGAACTCCGGCGTCTTCACTGGACGTGTAGGATCCGAACATGGTTCTAGCCAAGACAACCGGAGCGTATTGGGCCACCGAAGGCCCCCTGCCAACGAGCCAGCGAGTTCTACCCGTCATCAATCGGTAAGACCTTCCATTTCATTGCCACCAAGTGTCTCTACTTTAGAGAGACCGCGCTAAAGAATTATTCGTAGGATGTACCTGATCAGACTGCCTCCCATCGAACACCCGCGCGCGTCCTTGCGGCCATTAGAGACCACCCCATAAAGCCGCCAACTCGGAGAAAGAGAAAAGTTAGAACCGATACCAACCCAGCTGCTCCCTCTCGGGCCCAACCCCGCAGCATTGCCCCTCTCCCAGTAGCTCGCCTGGAGCAAGCGCACAGGCCGGTACAAGCTCGTGGAATGCCAACACCCATGTTTGGCCTAGATCATACTCCAGGTTATAGGAGCGCTGGCAGTGCGGCAGCCTTTCCTGCCATGGCTCAAGACTCCACTGCAGAGCGTGCCAGTTCTTATGGACAGCCAATCGATGAGGGCAACTCCAGGCAGCTTCAAGATCCGTACTCCACTGCTCGCCCAAACTACCACATGTCTTTCGGCCCGACGTTGTCACCGTTTTTTCCCGCACTACCTAGTATTTCTCATGGCCGTGCACCACCGGCATCACGTATGTATAACTCCAATACGTTTCCCACTGTAGTAAATCTTGTCGAAGCGGAAGACTTTGACCACGATCGGGAAACTCGCATGGAGATTACAGAAAATAGGTACAGGTTGCTTCTGGGGCGTGACAATCCGGCGCCTTTTTTCCGCAGCTGGTCCTCCCAAGACCAGGCCGTATTTCTGGAGTTTTTCCCGGCATTCATGGATAGACACCGTGATGCTGAGGTGCTGACGGATGTGGAACGGTTGGCGCTCTATCGAGATTACGTACAGTACCGTACGTGGGTTGAAAGTCCAATTGATGTGGACCAAACATGGGCCAACTTGGAACGTTACGGCCTCATTCAGACACAATTAGCAGTATACGGCCATGTGGACCCTGAACAGACTGCTCAACGAGACCCTACGCCTGACCTTGACGAAGAGAGACGTCGAATGTACGGAGCACCTGTACGCACAGCGCTAGTATCTGTCGAAATTCCAGCTACAGAGAGGCTTCACCGGCCAGTCTTGGGCTCCATCGGACCCCCCAGCGCTTCGCGCATTGTCCAGAACGAGAGATCAACTGAGACGACTCAGAAGGCGCCCAGAAAGTCGAAGAAAGACCGTTCGCCCTTTAAGAACGATATTCTGAAAGGGCGTACTCTTAACAGAGACGGTATGTACTTCAGCTCCGCCGAGGAGGGCGATGCCTTATTCCGGGAGCGGCCGCTGTGGAGGCCGAAGAGGGAAACTTTACCTTCCGAGCGGGCGAGATTGCCTCTTGTCCGGGCGCTGCAGGACGCCATGGTGAACCTAGATGGTATCAATGACCGTCTCACCAATCGACTTGCGCGTTGGCGGCCGGACAGTCGATTCTATGATCCGGTCGCGATCGAGCTTGCTGCTCATAAACTCTTGGTATGACTAATCCCGCGTTGACCAAAGGGTGTATATTGACCAAAAGTAGGCTAAAATCTTCAAGTTGCACGAGGATGGCTGGACTAGGCCTGTGTTGGACCCAACACAAGAAAGCCTCTTTGACCCGGAACCCGATTTGTCCTTCCTTGAGCGTTTCGAAGCTATTCGAGAAGTGCTCTATGTAAGTTATTCCTGTCGCCAACTTCACGCTTCTGCTAATCAGATGTTTGCAGCACTGGAAGGCCACAGCGAAGATGGTCCTTCAAGGCGATGATCTGAAGATAGATCAGTTCATTGCCGGCCCCAATGAGCGCGCAGAGGTACGTAACATAATTTTCCAAGCAATTACACGTCTAACTGTCTTCATCAGAGGAGCGGGAGATATAGCGAAGCCAATATTGCGAAACAAATAATCATCGAGGAAGGTCGCCTGGCCAAAAAGGGAAACAAGCGTAGTGCTGCGGAAGCTTTCTCCTCAGAAGGTCGTGAGGCCAGAAGAAGCACAACGACTCTGCCACGGCAAACGCTCCGAGCCTCAACGCCCAGCGCATCGAGTAGACGCCGTAATGCCACCACCGCAGCCAATGCCGTCGAGAGCGATGTTAGCTCCGAAACCAGCGAGACCGACGACGACACATCCACAGCTCAGGAAACGCCGAGGGATCCAAAAGTCACTAGGAGATTCCTACCTCGCGAGAGCAAGAACAAGAAGAGGAAGCACGGACAATAGGGCAGGAATCCTAGTTTAATCGAAGACTAGTGTTAGGCTTGGGCTGGATGTTCAAAGGCGGTTGTTGACGGGAATCAATAAAATAGCAAGCATAGGTGTCTACTGCAAGTACGGGTACGACTCTTTGACAAGCCCAGCTTGTATATACATACTCGTGTAAGCCTTAAAAGATAGAAAATCAAAATTGGAACACTGACGGTTCATTCACTCCGTCTTTTGAGAGCCTATGGGAAACGAAATGTGTGTCTATTGCTGGCTTACACAGCCTACTCTGCGTGAAAATAATGCAGTCACCTTGAAGATCATAGACGTCGCATTACTACCATCGTAAAGGAGATGATGAGAATGGATGCTGACACTTCTGACGCTCAGCCAGGCTCTCATACGTGATGTATCTATTCTCCTTGATTCCCATTGGCATAGAGCTCCACAGTGCCCCGTTATGAGCCTTTGTGCTCTAGAGTCTTTTCTATATTCAACCTCGTCGAAAGCTCGCGCTGTGCGTCGTCGAGCTGAATCTTGATGCTTCACTACGAAGTGCTAAGTCTGCCTTTCCACTAGATCTTCAGCTCTATGGCGGTTCTAAATACTTTCAGTGGTATCAGCTTCGAATCGTGGGTATGAGAGTGGCCAGAAAAGCAATATCAAAGTATTGACTACGTTGACCTACTTTGACACAATCTCGATCCAGAGTTATGCTTTGCATACCCTGGCGTCCTATTAATGACGCAATTACGCCCGTTTCCAAAATTCTAGGGGGCAAAGAAAAGTGGGGCAATTCCAGCGGAGCGCTCATTGGCTCAGCCGGGAGCAAATAATCATCGTCCAATTCGAGCGTCTCCTTCGATCGTCCCAAACTCAATACCTTTTCGGGGGCAACCAGCCAGCAACTGCATCGCAACTGAAAGGTCGACGCTCAAGCTTGCACCCTATACCGCCACCGCTGGTAGGCGCCTCGCGCAGTGTAAGTGACTCCGCCGACGCCTACTCCTACTTGTCTTCTTAATCTCGATTTATGTTTTGTTGGGCTGCTCTCCACAACAAGACATGCTGGTCGGCAGGGATTCTAACAGCCACTCGATACCTCCCAATAGCAGATATCTGCTAACTCGAACAACGAATGCTAGGTTCAATCGAGATGGCGCGCCAGCAGAAAGTGTCCAGACTCCCCACTCCTGGCCATGCAATATCAGCTACGACGTACGGAGATCCACATGCGCAAGGCGGTCGCCTAGGACTTCACACTGGGACCTTTTCTGGCCATGGTCATACGCTATATCCAAGACAAAACCCATGGGAGGTAAGCAGACGTTACATCTGTCCTGTAAACCCGTTTCTTTTCCTTGAAGCACCTCTCACTATGATGAGCAGATTCCCTCTCCGGCGGAAATCCTTGCGCGACCGGACCCCTTCGCACACATGCAGTCAGATAGTCAACAACTTCATAGCGCTCCGGTATTTGCGCCGACCCTTTAACGCGTCCATCACCAGCGGGAACCCTCAGCGTATAATGGAGATCTGGCGGCAGATGACTTGTTGAACTTCGGCGCCATCTTCGACAACACAGGTCCGCGGTGGAACCCTATACGTCCCATGGACTCACGTCCAGCCAGCCATGACAACGCCATTCAATACGGATCTACATCATTTGGTAGCTTTGAGGGAACTGCCGTGGGTTTCAACGCTGCTCCCTTGTCGAAGAACTTAGCGTTCATGCCCGGCTTCCCTGATTATTCTCCTGTGACTCCTTCTACCTCTCGTGGTGTAGTCTCTGTAAGTCTTCAGCACCTCCTCCATGGGGTTTTGCCGTGATGCGGAGGTATTCTGACCTCTACTCTTAACAGACCTCCGACGCCGAACCAACATTCCCAATGAAAGATTTCGAGCTTGGCCATCTTGAAGCCAGCAGCAATGTCTTCAACACAAGCTCTCAGTTGTCCAACGCCTATGACTTCGCGGCCTTGCTTCCGGAACTCGATATCCCTCAGGAACATGATCCAACAAAACTCGGCTCGATGGAAGAGCTCCACGGCCATACCTCTCAACATCTGCCGTCAGCCAAAGGACCTAATGGTGCCGACAGTTACAAGCCTAGCGAGAACAACAATGGGCCTGCCACTATCCAGCGATGGAACGGTCCACCCGTTGGACAGGCCACCAAGCCTCTCAGAACGATGGCATATAGGCGGGACGCAAAGGGCAAGATCTACGACCCCTTGGTTACTGCCCTTGAGAAGAAGAGCAACGGTCTATATTGGTCCTCCTCTGCGGAAGCGGAACACTTCTTCGCTAGAACCGCTCGCTGGACGCCGACGCTTCTTCAGAGGCCCCTGTGTCCCGCAGAGAGAGAAAGCTGTGTCGTGCGTCTGCGAGAGGCAATCATCAATACGACCGGTATCCTTGATAATAAGAACCGCTGCCTTAAACCTTGGCTAGACGGTCACTACACGGCACCGGCTGCAGAATATGTTGCCCACACCATAGTTGTGAGTGCCTAACGCCCGGCGTCTAAAGGCAACGAAACTAATGCAGAAGTAGGACGAACTTGTCAATTTGCACACCTTTGGATACACAGCTCCTATTCTTGATTCCAAACGATTGCTCGAGAGTAGATTCCAGCAAGACCTGGGCTTTACTCACCGATTGCAAGAGATAGAGAAGCTCCTTTTCGTAAGTTCGTCCTTTTATGTATCGAGATGAGTATAGAACTAACAGGTTGGCAGGAGCGCAAATCCGTGTGTAAGGCTCTCATGGATGGCGGCGATATCATGCAGCTTGTAGCAGCACCCAAGCTGAAAACAAAGGTAAGAAACTACACTCCTGAACTTTCTAGCGCGAACGATTTGTTAACTTTCACCAGATGACTGAATACAACAAAGTTGGCAACGGCCGCAAGGCAAATATGCTTGCTGCTGGTACAGGTGGCACGAAAGCTACGAAGAAACGCCTGGCATCTCAATTCTCGACGGATGACAGCGACGATGACCTTGTCAATCACACAGAGGCAACGTACGCTGTAAACCAGCGTCGAAGACTAGACACTCCGCAAGGTTGGAGCTAGCGAGAGCACTTAATTGACTTGGAGTTGATCTGCGCTCTCGATTTTTCAAGCCTAGACATAGCTCCCTTGTGGTATCTCTAAACGAAATATCAAGGCAGAGGATACTGAGCTAGCTGCGAGCTCACATAATCTTGCTACCCTTCATTAGGGAAAGGTAAAAGACTATGAATACTGTCGAGACGGGATTTTGATGCCCTATCCACGGCGGTCTATGTACATAGCCTTTTAGATACAACGGCTCACTCCAAGTGTACCTTTCCATAAGTGCTGACATCACTGCAATACTATATGGCTGCAATTGTTTACTCGTCCCTATTTGCTTCACACACACATAAGTAATCCATTACATTAGAGCTTTCTCAGGTTAGACGTGATATAAAGCGTATGGGTACTGTTTCAAGAGACGATAGGCTTCAAAATGTGCCTCAACCAGCACTTCTACCATATGCTAACGCAAAGATGGCCCTGAGGGCTCTAAAGAATGGCCTCGAAGCTGAGTAGGTAGCTTAGAGATTTCAACTCCTTATCTCGTTCTTTCCTATATCGTCAATATCTAAGTCGCTCCGTTGCCTTCATGACCTCACCCGGTGCTACATATTCCTCTACGCGCTCCCTGGCAGTATTGTACCTACCTCGTGAGCCTCCAATACTCACCCCGCTCCCGACCCCTCAATATCGTACCCTCCAGCTCTTTGCAGGATCAGCTCTGCGTCACGTTGGTGCACTGTTGTCTGCTAAAATTTAGAGGAAATCCGCCGATATCTGCTACACCGCGTATAAAATTATCGACTAGAAGCCCAACGCCCTACTTCGTCACCTCATACTCCCAGCACCTTCATCCGTGAGTGACGTTAGGTTCAACTGCCGCCAAAGCCTCCTACAGGGCTTTTGCTCGTGGCTACCTAGGTAGATGTCCAAGGAAAGCAGGCGATCTGAGGCAATGCCACAACTCGTCGCAAGAAATGATACTAGACCGAGGGAATAAAAGTTTTGTAGTCAGATAGAACGAATCAACTCGGAGGTTTGTAGATAAAATCGTCAAGGTACGTCGGGGGGGGGGGGGGTCAGGGCTCTAAACAAGTCCAGAAGTTATATCAGGTTCATTCTTGTCTGGATTACTGTGGAAAAGCGAAGTTGAGTAGATTCTCTGAATTAGCCGGCCAGAAAGCTGGACCATGAGGCGATCTGCTTTTGCAGGACCTACCTTGACGTTAAAGAACTTCAATCACGTGAAACTGGGAAAAGGTGAATTTCACATAATGAATGATCAGGCAGATTGAGGGCGGTAATCCATCGCGCCGGACCGAAATAAAGTTCCTAAGATATAAATTGGGCTCCCAGAAAGCTCGAATCTCCCACAACTCCCCACCCACCTCCACACCACCATCTCTTACCAGCACACACACCACCCCAAAACCCCAAAGCTCCTCTTGGACCAAGCTGTAGTACCATCGCTCTATTGATAGTAGCATTTGCTATTGTTCGTGTACGTACCTCTAGTCCTAGCCCTCGACTCGCTCATATAGGCGGTTTCAATCGCCTGGCCGTTTGATTCACTATACTTCCGCGTGGTTTTTGACCACCCTCACAACTCTTCAACGATCTTCGCTGCTACGCTCTTGCTGACTTCCGAGTTCCATAACTAGGTTCTATTCTAAGATGCCGATCTGCCGGAAAACGATATACCTCCCCGACGAGGTCATAGAGGAGGCAGGCCGCCCCCAAAACGGGCCGTATAACCCACACATCATGGGTTCCTATCCGCAGGTTAGTTGCCTCTGGATGTGAATGGTTTTCTATGTTATTTAAAGCTTTAGCTAATCTTATATCCTTTTAGTACGCAATGAACGACCCAAGCATCGCCCTCCAAGTTCAGGGTCCATACTCCCCGCCTCGTCAACAGTTTCCAATGCTGGCTAGTCAGCGTGTCCGTCAGGAAGCAGGGCTAGGCCACGCGTGGGACAGATACAATATCAAAAAGGTGTCCAATGCCAAGGCTACTGCAGATGAGGCGATATACTACACCGGACATGAAGATGTTTCGATGAATCACCAAGAGGCGGCCGGACATGAAGGTGATTCAGTGAATCATCAAGAAGCGGGCGGATGTCCCGCCGGACAACATGCACTGTCTATGAGTGACCAGGAGTTGGGCGGGTCGTACGTCTCACAGGACAATCATGGTATGAATCAGCAACACATGGGCGCTCCCTACGGTGGAGAAGAAACTTCGTCTATGGATCAGCAGAACATGGGTGGGTTTCACGCCGATCCATGCACTCAGTCCGTGAATGATAAGGACATGAGCGACTTGCACAATACTCCCCCGCGTGAGCTAGATCATGTCCTTGGTACGGTCATGGGGGTAGAAGAGAGCAATCACCAAGCTGTAAGTTCGTACAGAGCGAGACGGCACTCCGGCTAGTTGTCAGATCTAACATTATATAGGAGATGAATCCAAATTCTGGACCCTCCGTTGCTCAAGACACCACTCGTAAGGGCAGGGCCACCCGGCAGGAACTCCGCCCTATGCCCGGCGCCAATGACCAGCTAGTAAGTCTTCCAGTCTTTACTACTCATGTATTTTAGTATACGATGGGATGTTTGACTAACTAACCTTTTTGCTATTCAGAACGGCAAACTTGATGATAACGCGTCTGCCACCACGTCGAACAACGAACACGAGGACAACGGCCAGAGCGACGGTGGTCACACTCGTGGTGACGGCGGCGGCCTCTCGGATGCGCCAGCAGCTCAAGCTACCGCAGCCGCCACGCCGGCGTCCTACAGCATCCAGAACCCCGATCACAAGTGGTTGAATAAACCAACTGGAGCGACGAGGGGGCAAGATTCCAAGGGAAAGAAACCATACGACCCGCGGCTGAGAGAATTGCAAAAGAATGAGGATGGTCTCTACTTCTCGTGCCTGGACGAAGCTATGAGCGTGTACACGAGTGAGGCACGCTGGACCCCGCCGCTTCTCACATCACCACCAACCCGCACCGAGAAAGTCCAGCTAGTCAAGCGCCTTACAGCTGCTATAATGAATATGGAGGGAATCGCAGACAACAGCAATCATAAGTTCCAAAAGTGGGAGAGGATGGTCTACGACCCCATTGCCATGGAACATGTAGCCCACCGACTCGTGGTATGTTATCATTCTTTTCAAATTTCACAGAAGGCCACTAACCCAAACGCAGACGAGGTTACTTAGTTTACATCTCCCAGGCCCAGAGCAAGGATGGCGTGCCCCTATTCTAGATCCCACGGACCTAGCTCCATCCAGGTATGAAGAAAACCTGAATTTCCAGCAGCGGTTCGACGCGATCGAAGACCTCTTATGGGTAAGTGGATCCCTGACTACGAAAATGAACAACGTTCTAATCTTTTGAAGCATCGCAAGGCGGCTTGTGGCTCGCTCTTGGACGGAAGTCTGTACGACGCGACAATTGCTAGCCCGAATCTGCGTTGGAATGTAAGTATAGCCCTTCTCGCTATTCAAAGGCCACATTACTGACACTCGATAGTCTTATCTCATGAATCAGCATGCCAACAAGAATAAGAAGGTCCAAATCGAGAAGGGACGAGAAGCGATGGGCATGAAGAAAGGCAAGAAGCGCCGTGCTTCTGAGACGGAAACTGATGAGGAAGAAGAGGGTGGCGATGCCACTCCTGCCGAACGCCCCGTCAAACTTCGTTGCCTCAACCCGCGTTCTGTTCGACCCACTACCCAGAGCACCCAAGTGACTCTCCCTGGCGAGGACCATGCGGAGGGAACCGAAGAGCATGACGCGGATCAGCAGAAAAAATATGCCCCGCTTATTGTGGCTCTCGCTGCGAATAACGCTGAGTCTGCCACCCCGAACGCGGAGGGAACCAGACTTACCCGTAGTCGCACCAGCGGACTCAACAAGGGTACCCCAAAGAATGCCGAGAAGGGAGGTCGAAATCGTAAAAGTGGAAAAAGTGGCGCCTAAGCGTGGCGCGAGGAGATTGCTGGGCAGAGTAGGTGATGTTTGTCAGACGGCTGAGAGGGTCTGTCCTGATTTCGCTCACATGAGCATCTGGATCGACTAGTAATGACGGTCAGGGCAACACTTTTCAGATTACTCAATTAAGGATAGGCTCGTCTTGTACAATAGTACATAGACTTAAAATCATAAAAAAGAACTTGAATTTTCGCATCGTCGTGACGTGATGACCAATGTCTGGAAGTAGCCGATAGAAACAGTGACAAACTAACACAACTTCACATATGGCACAACACATATGCCATCATGCAGATATTAGCTCAATTATGCGTGCAGCGAGAGAAAGTGGCACATCTTTGAGGAGAATATATGTTGAGGGTGTGGTCAAAACAAGGTTGCACTAGATCGTCCCTCCATGCCGCGAAGGGCAAGGTGACGGCCCGGTCCCATGGAAAGCATCATGCTCCACACTTTATTCTAACCTCAACGCAAGCGACTCTGAACCTACTATCTTCCCTCTATGGCATCAGAATAAAGTAATGAGAGGCCAAGAGCTGACCATCTCCTTACTTCATACTAAGATGTGCTGTCTTTCTTATGTATCCCCTCTCAGATCCCGTGTAACTCTGGGCACACGGATTTAATACTGCCTGACTCTAATCTTGCTCACACGATACCACTGTGAGGAGTGCCCCAGTCAGTAAGTAGCCAGCTAGCCAAGAGGCAGTCTGATTTACACTGCTTGAAACCTAACATCATGCTTAGAGTTTTGAAAGAAGTCCATGGGGGTACCACAAGCAGTGGTAGACCGGGTGCACAGACTTATGACCTGTCACTGTATCTTGGACGTACTGGATACGGGTCCTCGAAACTTCTAGACGAACTGGACCCCAAGCGTGAAGACCTATTTCCCGGCTTACCTAGGCCGCATCCCGTCTATGTTCAAGCCAGTGACTGTCCGTGAGCACATAAGCTCAAGATTTGAGTCTAAATTCAACAAGCCTCTCCTCCATCGAAGCGTAGTTGTACACGACGTTTTGAAGTATCTTCTGCTTGATATAACGGACGACTATTGGCAGTACCGCTACAGTGACAGGTCATAAGTCTGTGCACACGCATTTACCAATGCTTGGGGTACCCCTATGGGATTCTAAAAACCTAGGTACGATGTCAAGTTTCAAGCAGTGTAAATTAGACTGCCCCTTGACCTACTGGCTACTTCCTAGCTGGGCCGCTCCTCACAGTGGTGTCGAGTGAGCAAGATTGGAGCCAAGCAGTGATAAATCCAGTGTGCCCAGGCTTATTGCCTGGTACTGTACGTCCACCCTAAAATGCCTGGCCAATCGCTCTAGCAGAAGTCTCGGCACCAATAAATAGGTCGGGAAGTGTCGGCATAGTGACTGATCAGGAACTGTTTCCCCACCGCCGAGCTCGCTTAATTCCAAATTCTTCTCTATTTAACTACCTTCTGTTCGACTATTTACCTTCTGTTCGAGCCTCCCACATCACACTCATCCACATCACACTCTCGGGTCACCAAAAGCCTTCACAACCAGCATCACCTCCCTTGTACACCTCATATACCTATTCACGCTGTGTTTTCGTGCTACGAAAGGCATTAACGGCAATATGAAATTGTCCAACATCGACCCCCTCCTTCGCGGCGACTCCAGCAACACAGGTCATTCTGGCCGCGCCGACGCTCGACGCGCAGTCAACCAGCAGGTCGCCACCCCTTCTAGACGCCAGGGAACCCTGCGCGCAGGTATGCCAGGCTCGTACCGCGCCCCGGTGACGAGCCCAGGCCTCCCTAGCCCTGATGACATGGATGAGGACAGCCTGTTCGACACCCACTCCTTGGACGGTGTTGAAGAGACGGCCAGCATCGCGGACAGCAATGCGTTCGGCTCGCCCCCAAGAGCGGCCCACTACAACTCCGCTGGGTACCTTCGTGCCCAAACAGTAAGCACACTCTCTTATTGCGACTTTTGTGACCGCTTTTAAGACGTCAACACAGGCCGTCGATCGAGTTGCCCACCTCGGTGGCCAGAACCGTGGCTCATCCCCTCTTGAGCATCATCGGTCTGCGTATGGAGGCCAAACTCAGGTATTAAATCGCACTAGAACCTGTACCAGATGGTTTCACTAACAAAAACAGAATCCTTATGGACGTCCTACCGGCCAGCTGGGCGGCCAGGGTCTCGGATTCACTGAGTCAGAGCGCCAAGCCATGGCGGGCTTTGATCCAGATGATGACTACCCCGGACCGGCTTCCCATACCGAGTCCCGCCGCACGTTGTCTAACCCGTTCATTGCTACCGACGAGGCCGATGACCAGGCCACGGACTACATGAGGGGATTCTCGTGGGAGAATCGCCTCGGAGACCCCTTCGCTGCGGGCACCGACCCTGGATATGAGCCTGACAATACTCATCGCGGTCCCCCTGCTGGTACAACGCGTGGCCCGTCTAACCCTTTGGGTAGCCAACAAGCCAATCAAGGACGCCTCCGTCGCATGGCGAATGCCGGCCTCACTACAATGGGGCAAATGCAGTACGGATCAATCTATGACGACGGCAACGAATCCCCCGATAGCAACGGTGTCCCAACCTATCGTTCGATTGCCCTCCGTCATGCGACCCTCGCAGAAGCGATGGAATCATTTCAGCGACCCAACCCACTTTGGAGACCGCCACAAGATGACCCGACCGTGCCCCAGACTCCTGAGCAGATGGAAGACGTGGTCCGCAAGTTGATGTGGGCTCTATTGAGCACCTCCATTGAGGAAGGCGGCGTTAAGAACCCGCACCCGAATGGCATCCTGCGTGGACTTGGCACAGAACATCTAGAGATGACGGCCTGGAAGATCCTGGTACGTAGCCTCACCATTGATCATACTTCTTGCATCTTAGAAACCTAACCTGTACTAGGAGGAGATGCTGCGCCTCCATGAAGATGGATGCTGGGATGATTATGTCCTCAGCCCGAGAGACCGACAATGGGGCTTTGCCACACGTCTCAATTACATCGTGGCCCTGTTTCGCGTAAGTCACTGGTTCTGGCTAGGTCATGAAAATTTGGTTGCTAACTTTACTCCAAGCATTGGAAAAACGCCGCGTCGGATGCCATCAAGGGCCAACACATCGCTACATTCGTCGCCGCCCCGTGTGAGCATGACCGTGTAAGTAGTGTTCTAATCCCCATCTTTAAAGAAACATATTAAACATGTATAGCGCAAGCGCTCGAACGCGAAGGGCAACGCCAACAAGGCGAAGGCCATCCAGCTGAGCAAGACGATTGCGAAGCACTAGGAGCGACGTTACGTCAGCTCAGCGACGACGTCTGGAGCCCGTTTGTGGGCCTCCGTCTATTGCGAAGTGCCAGTTATTAGATAAATTGTCACGGTAATGCCAATGCACAGGTTTCATTTGGCAAGGCTATGTGTAGACAGTCAATAATTTGCCTGCGAGGCAGCTTTCTTGCGACAACCTGATTTGAGGCTGGTTTGTGCCATGATTGGAACTACATATAATAAGTCGAGAGACTCCTAGCCTATCTACTGATGCACCAGGAAAAACACCATTCGGCCCTATCTGATTTCCAGCCCTTCATCAAGAGCAACAGAGAGCCCGCTAGATCCCTCTAAACCCCGCCTCCCTGCCGCTCACCCATAGCCTCATCCCACGACAATCGTCCCGGATTCTTATCATCCTCATGGCAATTAATATACAGCATGAGGGCGTACTCCTCCTGCGCCTCGAGAGACTCTTCTTCTTCTACTTCGTAGTCGTTTTGGATGAAGACGCGCGGGTCACCGGCGATCGCGTAAGTCGTCCTAGCCCTAACAGCGTCGTGATTTAGTAGAGAGACTAGAGCACGGGATTTGTGTGTCTGTCGTGCTGCTGCTGCCGAGCGGCGATGCTTGAGAGCTGGTGCGGGCGTTGGGAAACGCGAATTCGTTGGATAAGTTGAGCGCTCCCCGAAAAGACGTCGTACTGAAGCTGTTGCTTCGGATCGATTATACGTTGGGTTTGCTGCTGCCACTGCGAAACGGGGACATGTTGGAGTGGGTGGTGGCACTGTGGATCGCGGACGGGTTGGAGGTGGTGGAGGTGGTAGGTCTTCGTCCTCGAAGAGGTACTTGAAGGCGTCGCCGTGAGTGTCTGTTGATAGAGACGGATTGGAACGCTGGGAAGCGGGATCAGCTCCAGAGAGAGGATTGGACGCGTATGTTGAATCTTTTCGCCGCGGAGGGGAAGTGGGAGCCTCAGGGAGGCCGTCCTCTTCGAACAGATAGTTGAAAGCGTTGCCTGGGGAGTCTGTCAGCTTGGGGGTGGTGGCTTTGGTGTCCGTGTTTTGGATTGCGGAATCGACGGGATCGGTGTTGAACGGCTTGTCGCCAATACGTGCCCGCTTTGGGGATGCCGTATGGTCTCCCTTCTCAGTATCCAACTCCACCTGACGCTTCCGCTTCGAGCTAGACGGCTTCCAACCTTGATTCTTCGAGGCATCATGAACCAACTGCTCGGAGCTGCGCTTCTTCAATGGCTTCACGATGGTCTCCGTCGTCTTTGGGGTTTTGATCGAGCTGGCAGGGGGATTGATCTTGGGAGAGTATCCGTCAACACGGGCCCGCTTAATGGCGTTGGTAGAGGACTCCTTCTCGGAATCTTGATCTTCTTTGCGCTTTCGCTTGGAGCCAGGAATCTCTTCGGCATCTTTGGTGAGCGCGTCGTACAGAAGATGCTCAAGGGTATCACGATCTGTAGTATCGAAATCGAACTGAGCTTCTTCTGGTGGAGGAATTACCATTGGTGACTTAGGAGATTGACGATTGGAAATAATTCCTGAAGACGGTGTCTTGTCGGTCGAGCCTTTGGGGGCAGCCACTTGCTTGGCTGCACCTGCAGGAAGGGTACTCGAGTTCATTGCCGATTCGAAGTTTAAGTTTGTGAGGTTTGGTGTAGCAAAGCAGACTTAGGTTGAGTTTGCGAGACAAGATATCGGGCTGTCAATGGTGGTGGTGGTGTTGGGCCGATGACAGGTTTGTTGGGGGGGTTGAGGTGCTTCAACAGCGTTAATACTACTGTAATCCAGTTTTACTAGACAGCAAAATCTTGCATGACATTGTATAGTGAATGTGGGAGCGACTGAATTGGAGAGCGCTGTCTTTGTTTACATAAGGTGATTGTGCAAATTCGAGGAACAAAGAACCCATCTTGGAAATAATGTCAAGGTACTTCAGCCAGCTGCATCGCATACAGTCGAGAGCACAATCGGTTACCGGTTTTGCATCTTAATTTGTTCTCACCGCACGGTCCTCCTGACAGGGGGGTTTCCTACTTCGTGTTGGCGTCCTGTAGGGATAGCTTTGGTAATTAATGCCGGTTTCCAAATAACGTAATACACTATTACATGTTTAGAGTATTGCTGCCTTAGACCCATATTATGTGATTTATCCTTTACTGTTAGAGGTTGTTGTAGATGAAGCTTGCTTAACTACTTGTTCTCTTCCGTTAGACACGACTGAATATAGGATGGTGAAACAGTCACGTGCGCTACCTCTGACATTCACTGTGCAAAACGCCATTTAGAAAACTATACCAGCAATGGGACAGAATTAACTTGTATCTCTATTCTATAAATCTTTTCTGCGCATCCCTCCCTTTACTGTACGGAAGTTTTATAGTTACATTTTCGACTAGTTAATCAAGGTACCCTGATTCATCCCTGGCAGCCCTATCCCTTAACCCGTCGGGGTGCAACGCTCGGGCCAGTTTTCAGGCCCGTGCAGCAACACCGTGCTGAGGTGTGCAGGAGGCATCAACAGAGCTGTAAATAGTCGAATTAGCTAGTTCCCTGAGCCCAAATCAATGCAACAGAATGCCGCGAACATCAAATGACATCGATTATGTGAAATGGAAGGATCCACGCACCAAAACGTCCAAAAAGCCGCCGCCAGAGCCCTGGCCTCTGCCTCAATTCACTCCCCTTCGAATAGACGACTATTACCACCCCGGCGAAGCTGCTGTCCCTCTCGGCACTGATAGACGCGATCCTATGGCCCTTTTTGGCTTGTTTTTCGACGATGAAATGCTAGATCGGATAACCGCGTGGACAAATCAATATGCAGAGGCGCACCTGGCGTTGGAGGAGGACGCCCCTGAGGGCAAGGCAAGGCCATGGCTGCCTACGTGTAGGCAGGAGCTGTACG